TAACGCCCCCACACAACACACACACACACACACACACACACACACACACACACACACTGCAGCTGTGTGAGGGCTGAACGGTGTATATCCTTCTGGGTCATCAGCTCTGGGTAGGCTCTTAATGCGTTTCCACAAAGTGGATAACAATTGCGGGGGACTCAAGCTAACACCCTCTTCCCCGCACCTCCCACAGATCCACAAGGCTTCACTGGCTCCAGGGCCAGGTCTCTGCAGCTCAGGCCTAACCGGGTGGCTCCAGGTCAAGCCAGGGATGAGGTGGGGTTGGGTGAGGATCAGAGGCTACCCTAGCCGGGAAGCCCACTGCAGCCGAGCATCTAGTTCGGGAAGCACAGGGAGAGATATCAATACGCAAAATGAAGCAGCCCGAGGCCCTGCTCCACAGAGAACTAGACAGAGGTTTCGGGCACTCTCCCAGGATCGCAGGCCTCTTCCCAGTGGGCTCAGCTGCGCGGACGGCGCCCCCCTCCGGGCTTCCAAGCGCTCTCGCCGGCGCCGCTATTAAACTCGCGGAGACTGGAGCTGAGAAAAGGCGGGCAAAATTCCTTTTGATAAGTTATGAATGGGGAGAAAGTGTTTGTAGTACTCATTGTTAAAACCACGGAGCCGGGGACTTGGCCCGCTTCCGGCCAATCGGAACCCGTAGGCTATTTTGAAATCGCTCCGGTTTTAGCCAATAGGCGTGCAGGAGGCGAAGCCCCGCGCCGGCTCCGGCCAATGAGTTCGGCGTTATGCTAAGAAGCCGGGGGCCGGGCCCCACCGACTGTCAACGGGTTAAAGATGGAGCCGGCTAGCGAGAGGGCGCCACGAGGTGCGGGGTCGTCCTGATGGGGACGACGGGGGCGACCAACCGCCAGGACCTTTCTCTCGCTAACCTTCCGCGTCCTGCCCCCGGCCTGGTTTGGAAGGGGCGTCCCGCCGCGTGAGTAGCAGGGTCCGAGGTGGAGGGCACCGGCAGAGCGGCCCTACCGGGCGGGACTGTGCAAAGGGGCGCAGCCCGGACCCCGGGCGCCCTCTCTGTGCAGGGGACTCCAGAAGGGCGGGAAGCCGCCCTTGTTCCTTTGCTTCTCTCTAGGCCGCCAGGCAGAGAATTTTTAGGACTGGAACCCAAGTTGGGGGGCTAGGGGCCAGGGATGGGGGCCTGAGCCGGCAGGGGCGCGCCGTTCGGAATGGGGCCACCCTCCTCTCGGAGCCGCAGACCGAATGAGGCCGTAGGGTCGTCGGGTTGTACCCACTCTGGCTCCGTGCGGGAGTGGGCTTGGGACTGCGGCGGAGCACGGGTCCCTCTCCTTTGTGTGTTTGCCCCCTCCCCCGTCCGCTCCCGCTCCTGGGTTGGAGCTACCCCTCGGTCTCGGGTCTCTCCCGCACCGCAATGTGGAACGTGCTGGGGAAGGTCCAGGACCTTCTGACGACCTCTAGGACCGCCGCCCTGCCGAAACCCTCCCCGCCTTGAGGTCCAGGACACGGCCTCTAGCCCCACCCACCCACCCACCCACGGTTGAGCTTCCCGCCCTGGGCTTATTGGGGACTGTGGGGGTCCCTCCTGCTGGCCTCAGGTGCTCTGACGAGGTTGCACTACTGTGCTCTGAGAAGCAGTGCAATGATATTGTCAAAGCATCTGGGACCAGCCTTGGGAAACCCCCCTTCTACACACTATCAACCCCCTCCCCAGGTTGGGCCCCTTGGGCCTACAGGACCTCCCCTCCCCCGGGCCCTGGCCTCGCTCCCTTCTCCATGGAAACTTGAGATCCTGGCCAGGCCTGGGCCTCTAGGGTCAGAGGGCACCCTTCCCCCCAGGCAGAAGCTCCACCCCAGTGGGCCTGCATTCCAGGTCTCAGATCCTCACAGACCACCACCGGGAGAGGCGCTGGCAGGCCTGCCTGACACTCTTTCCCTGTTGCACTACTGTGGGCTGCTGGGAAGCAGTGCAATGATGAAAGGGCATCGGTCAGGCCCAGCCCACCACCCATAGCGCCTGAAGGGAGGGAGTTTTGCTGCCTCAGTCTGCTTGCTAGCAGTGAGGAGTAGATGTGGAACGGGACTGACCCCTCCATCAGAGGACTAGGTGAGTGCAGAGCTGGGGGATCCTCCCACAAATTCTCCTTCTGGGTTATGGCTGGACAGTAGCAGGGGCAGAGGCCCCGGATTCAGAAAAGCTCTGCTTTGAAGATCTTTCCACACCAACTCCCTGGGTAAGACTGGGGACTTCAGCTTTGGTCAGGTCCTTGTGGAGAAATGGAGACCCACTGTGTTGCCTGGCTCAGACCCAGCTCAACTTTGACCATGCACAGGTGGACTACACCCCACCCTCCTTGAGGGCTTTGGGAGGGTCAGACTCTGGAGAGAACATTGGGTTCTTAGCAGCAACACTATGTGGGGTGGGTGGGTGGACTTGGGCCATGAAGCCCCTAGGTGATACCCATCAACCATGCCAGCTTGTTCTCTTACAGGGAGGTATGCTGCCCTGAGACTGCAGGAGGGACCAAGAGGTGCCTGGCATGCCCATCCTAACAGCTACAATTAGGGGGACTGCCAAGGAGCCAGGCCCCAGGTGTGCCTGCAAGGTCACCTCCTCCATCAGGACCTACCACAATGCAAAAGGCTTTTGTGTGCCAAGGGACAGTCATTCAAGCCTGCCTCCTTTGAGAGGAGGCCTAGGCTTCCAGATGGGCATTTGGGAGTACCCCTCACCCCTGGCTGAGCACATCAAGATGTCAGCTTCACCCCTACCCTGGGGAGAGGGTAGAAGACCGGGCATCCATGGCTGGTGGTGGCCATCCTTATTTCTGTGCAGATTTTGCACCCACTGGCTGGAGACCCTCATATAGATGTTTCTGGCCCCTGCTGGGGGATGCTTGTGAACTCAGGGCTTTGCTCAAATGTTCCCTCCCAGGGAAAGCTTTTCTTGGGCTCCACAGCATCCACTATCCCTCCAGCAGAGCCTGCTAGATTGAAATTTCTCATTGTGGCTGAAGTCCTCATCAGACTGGGAGCCCTGAGGGCAGGGACAATGTCCCTTTTTATATCTCTCTCAGCAGTGCCTGGCACAGAGGAGGAGACCAATACAACTTAAAAAAAAAAAAAAAAAGGACATGAAGTGTGAAGTATTATGAGCATAACATGGTGGGGGGACTAATTAGAAGTCTGCTTGACCCCTCAGAGGTTACTTGTGCTGTATATAAAAAGGCACATACTGTATATTTCAAAGTCCTTAAGTCACACGGCATCAGGAAGTAGAATGAAGATTTGAACCCATGTGTATCATCTGTTTGCACCCCTAGGCTAAAATTTTTTTCCTCCTTGGTTGTTTCCTCCTTGGTTGCTCCATCTCCTATGTCGGGGACAGCAGAACCTAGAGGGTGGTGGTTTGGTAGTGGGAGGTGAAAAATTTCTTTAGATTTCTCAGATACACTCCATGGATCTCAGGTTGATGGGGGTGAAGGGGTTTGGAAGGTGACAGAGAGGAAGCGATCCAGGATGGACCCCCTTATCAGTGTGGCTGCTGTGGATGGTGGTGACATCGCCGACCAAGGAAGAGAGAAGCCGGTTTGGGGTTGGGAGGGAAGAAGCTGTATGCCAAACTGGGTGTATGTTCAGCATGAGACGCCCAGGAAACGTCTCCAGCCAAAACCTGGATGTGGTTCTGGAATTCAAGGGAGGTCTAAGCCTGAGACGCCGGTTAGAGTTAAGTCAGCTTCGAGTTGGGACCAAGAAATGGGGTAGGATCGTCCCAGATGGTACCGCGAGGACGGGACCTTCTCAAATGCGTCAGGAGCAGCTGGAGATGCTGAAGAGGCAACTGCGAGTACAGAGTAAACGAGTGGTTATACAGGGGAAGAGAAAAGACAGAAGCTGGGAGGGCTGGGTTTAATGCTGGAGAGTGAATCAGGAGAAGAGTGAAGTCTGAGTAGAGGAGTTAGGGACTGAGTGAAAAAGCCCTTGGGGTGTTGTCTACAGACCTCAAGGAGGGAGGGCGAGCAGGCGGAATGGGGAGGGGGGAGAGTCTTAAAGTTTGAAGAATACGGCTGCTGACCATGTTCCTTGCGCGGCCACCGCCAGCTCCCCAGCTCCCCAGCTTCCCAGCTCCCCAGCTCCCCGATCAAGGTCTGCAACACGCCAGCGGGATGGGCCCCCCGCGGAGCGCGACAGCGTTTGCCCCGTCGAAGGTTTCAGAGCGCATGCCCAGAGCGGGGGCGGGGGGGCATTGTCACGTGCGGCCACCTCGCGCGGATTGGCCCCTCCGCTCGCCAGCTCCGGGGGTGGGATTGGCTAGGCAGTCGGGGCGGTGGCGGCGGCACGCGGAGGGAGGCTGCGTCCGCGCGGCGGCTGTAGGGCAGAGAGCAGGTGCGTCCCCTGCGGTCCCCGCCCCGACGGGCCCCCGCCGCCCACGGCGACCCGATCTCTGCCCCTTGGGACCTGCCCTTTCCCCCCCAACGGCCGGAGGCGGGCTGGGTGGGGGCTGGGGGGTCGTCGCGCCTGGAGGCTCGGTGGCCCCTCCCCGACGGCCGCTCCGCCCCCAGGCCGCCCGGGCCGCCTGCAGCCCCTCTGGGATGGAGGTCCTGGACGAGTTCGACAGCGAGTTACCCCAGAGTGTGACCTTCTGCCAGCTCATCTCCGAGGAGGACTTCGAGAGGCAGGCGGCCACCTACACGGAGCGCGCGCTGCGCCGCCTTTTCCGCAGCATCGACCGCAGCCCCGCGCTGGCCGAGAGGGTGGTGCGCAAGGGCAAGCTGGCCGAGTACGAGGGGCGCGGGCTCCTCTCCTTCCTCTGGGTGCGAGCCGGCGGGGCTGCATGGGGGGAGGCGGGGTGGGGACCACGGGGGCGGGTGCTCGCACCGCTCCTGCTCCTCTTCTGAGGGTAGGTGATTGGGAGTGGGTTGGGGTGGGGTGGGGTGGGAGCCCTCGCGCCTAGCTGAAGCTGCAGGGTGGGGTTCTTCCTGAAGCCCCGGCTGTCCAGCTTGGGGAGTGCAGCCGGCAGGCGGCTTACCTGTCTGGCCTCCTCCTGCTCTGCCTCTCCCTTTGTCGTAGGCCAAGTTCTTCTGTGCAGTTCAGGGGGAGCTGAATTGTTGCAACAGCATGGGTGCCCTGGAGATGCACCAGCGCCTAGAGCAGCTGAAGAGGAGGATCCACCGCGTGCACCTCTACTCCCAGGGTGAGGTTCAGCCCCTGCCAGACTTCAGTAACCCAGGAAACCTGACTCAGGTTCCCTTATCCCTGGTTCTCTGCTTGGTTCTTTTTTTTTTTTTTTTTTAAATTTGGTGTTCATTTTTAAAGTATTAGAAAAACGAACATATACAAAACTGGAGACCACAGGGAACACTCAGGGACCAGCCACCCTTCAGCTTCAGCAAGTATCCCCATCTTGCCATGCTTGCTTCGGGCTCTGTTCCGCCCTTTTTCTGGAGCGTTTTGGGGGAAATCTCAGACATCATTGTATTCTTGGATCCTTTAGAGTGCTTTCTGATCTGTTAAAAGGCATTTTATAATTATGATGTTACCTAGATGTTGACAATTTTTTTTTAAAGATTTATTTATTTATGTATTTGATAGAGAGAGCACACGCTTGCAGGAGCAGGGCGGGGGGCAGAGGGAGAAGGAAAAGCAGGCTCCCCATGGAGGAGGGAGCCTGATATGGGGCTCCATCCCTGGACCCTGAGATCACTACCCCAGCTGAAGGCAGTTGCTTAACTGACTGAGCCACCCAGGTGCCTGACAACAATTTCTTAATATTAGCTGATACTTAATATTTGGGTGTTAGGTCCTTTGAGGTTCCTTTTCACTAGGATGGCCATGTACTTCTTGTCCACGTTGGCACACTTGTGAGGGTGAAATGAAAGGGGGCCACACTAGTGACCACATAGGGATGCCAAGTGATGGATGGCCATGTCTGTTGGAGTCCCTTTGAGGTGGGATGCTCTCCCCTTACTCCCCCCATGCCATCAACTTGAAGAACTGTGTTGTCCTTTGGGACATTGCGCTCACTGGATTTATATCTGTTGTTAGGGTCCCCTGGTGCTGTTTGTCTTGTCCCCCTCTCCCTGTATTTCTTGGGCATTTGCTCTAAAGCCTTGATCAGATGCAGGTTCAGTTCTTATGGTGCATTTGCCTTCAGTGATACACTAGCTAGTGGTGGAGTGGCTTTCTTCATTGTATCAGGAGGCCCCGCTCACCTGGATCTCTCACTTTCCATGATGCTCAGTGTGAGTGCTCCACATTTCATCTGATGGGCCCATAGCATGTGTAGCCCTCACACAGCCTCCCGAGGAAGTGTCCATGCTATTAAATTCATTTTACAGATGAGGACATAGAGGCCCAGGGAGGGTAGCCAACAATGTGACAACAGTGTCACACAGTAGTAGAGTCTAGACTGGAACTCAGGTATGGGTTGCTCTAGGCCTCGGGCTCTTCGCCTCCAGGTCAGTGTTCATGGGTGGTAGTGATCATCATTCTAGATGAGCCCTTTCTTTCTTTCTTTCTTTCTTTCTTTCTTTTTTTTAAAAGAATTTATTTATTTATTTGACATAGAGCTCAAGTAGTTGGAGAGACGGGCAGAGAGAGAGAGAGAGAGGAGGAAGCAGGCTTCCTGCTGAGCAGAGAGCCCAATGCGGGACTCGATCCCAGGACCCTGGGACCATGACCTGAGCTGAAGGCAGAGGCTTTAACCCACTGAGCCACCCAGACGTCCCTAGATGAGCCCTTTCACTGAGCTGTATGAGGCACTTGTTCATACCCATTTTGCTGGTGTCTAGTAGAAATACTCAGACTCACGGAATATAGGAAGAAAACCTAACGTGGAAATAGGAGAGGGGCAGGCCCCAGAGTCCTGTTACTCAAAGACTCTCTCCCTGAGCCCACTTCTCCTACAGAAGGATTTCCTTACAGAGGAGAGGGCCTTTGCACACCCCCAGGATGGCCCTGGGGCTGGGTGTAGCTGGTGAACTCACCTTCCAGGGCCTGGATACCCCATGAAAGGCCTGGCTAAATCAGGAGCTTTCCACAAGGTTTGGGGGAGGCAGCAGACTGACCTGCTTGGGACACGCCCAGCCCTCCTAGAGGGCGGTACTCTGTTCTATCCCCTCAGATTCTGGCCTTGAAGTCAGCCCATCAGGGTGTGGGTCCTGCCTGGGCTTTGTACAGTGGGAGCTTCCAGTTCTGCTTGTGTGAGAGAGAGACAAAAATACCCTTTCCTTGTGGGGGTAGCTATGGGGTCAGTGGGATGGTACATGTTGGTTCCTGTCAGCAATGTCTCTGGATGTTCTTACATGGTGCCTTTTGTGGGAGGAAGCTTTTGAATAGCCTACACCATTGTTCAACCTCTGCTCTGCCCTGCTCTGGCCACGGCGGAGGCCCTCATTGGTCCCTTTTATCACAGATGCCAAGAAGAAGAGAAGAAAGCCAAAACTGAAGAAACCAGAACCCATCCTCTTGAGAGACCGATCAACCTCCCCATGTCTGCCACCAGCCCTGCTGCCACCTCCCCCACTGCCGTCACCTGCCACCACCATGGCCTCCGTGGTGGCCCCATCGCCTCCTGTCTACACTATGCCTAGGGTCTTTGGTCCCTTCCTTCCGCTGCCCAGCAAGTCGGTCAGTGAGCTCATCCCACATTCCGTGTGGCCCTGGGAGGGGCAGCCTCCGCCCCTGTGCTCAGAGCCAACCCCGAGGCTCTCCTGGGCCCACGGCAGTGACTGTCAGAACTTTGTTTTTAAGCGGCACAGTGCTGTCTGGAGGCAAAATCTTGGGTAGAATGTTGATAGATAAAGCAGATAAAAGGGGTCTGCTCCAGTTGAAGGGTTGGAGGCATGGAGTTTCACCTGCTTGGCGTCAGCTGAACAAGTCAGCTGAACAAGGGCAGAATCTTGGGGGGCCTAAAGGATAGGTGGAGAACCATGGCTGCCACACCCCCAACATCTCCAGCCTCACGCCTGTCCCACCTCATGGCTGGTGTTCTCCTTCCCACTCTCTTTAAGTGCCTCGGCAGTGCCTTCCTAACTACCGCCCTCTCTTGGCCCCTGCTTATCCCTCACTCTCAAGCTAGGCAGCCTCCTCATCCTCTCTCAGTTCCCAGCAGCCCCATCCCGTCTCTCTTAACACCAAGCTTGAGGTGGGCACTAAGGATGACCCCGATGCATTTGCTGAATGAGTGACAGTCACATAGTTTCCCTAGTTCTTGTATAAGGTGTTTTTCTTCCTCACGAAGCCCCCAAACTTATCCTAAGATTTCCCTTATTTCCTGCAGATGGAGAAGTTGGAGGTTGCAAGGTCAGAAGTGAAACTGAACTGGGCTGGCCTGTCATCGAACCCAAAGAGGTGGAAGGAATGGATTCTAGGCTCAGGGCAAAGGAAAAGAGCATTTTAGGGAGCACACTGTGGGCCGTGCTTGGTTCCCATTTTTCCCTACCTTGTTCATCCTCACCACAATCCTGAGGAGTTGTTATCCCCATTTTATAGGGACGGAGTCAAGGCTCATAGAGGTCTGCTCTGCGCCCGGGAGTCCCTGTGGGAGGGCCTGCCCACGAGGAGTCCAGAGCTGATGCTCCCCTCCCTGCTCTGCCTTGCAGACACATGGTTGATCTGACCCCCTTGGTCCTCAATCCCGGAGGCTTCCATTTCTCGTGCCTGGCTGGAAACAGTGCGCACAAGCTCCACTGCCCTGGCTTCCCCTGGTAAGCGTGCCTCTGAGCCTCTCTGGGGTGGGATGTCATCCTGGCTTGATGGCATCATGGCAGTGTACAGGAGGGCCAAAAAAACATTCTGTGTGGTAGTCCTTCGCATTTCCTGAAAGGACCCTAATGTGTTCGGGTGCTGGAAAAGTCACTCCCCCTTCCTAGAGTGTGTAAATGCTGAGAATGGGTAACAAGCAGCTCAAAGACGCACCAGAAAGGGAACGATTCCATCAACTGTGGGTAGCCCTAAGGTTTATACACATGTGTTTTGCAAACTGAATATGTAGTTTGTTTGCTTGTTTGGTTTAATCACCTGTTTTCAACATTTATGGTGGTGGTGAGTATTTCCCATGGCATTCTGTGGAGTGTTATTTCAAAGTATGTACGTAGATTGGCTGCTTCAATGCATTAGGTGATTTTTTTTTAATAGCTATTTTTTAGAGGAGTTCTGTATTCATAGCCAACTGGAAAAGTGCTGAGAGTTCTCAGATCCCCCTCCCCCTACTCAGGCACAGGACCCCCCCCCCACTATCAACATCCCCTACCTTACAACTGATGAACCTACATTGACACGTCATCACCCAGTGTCCATATGTTTGGGCTCACTCTTGGCGTTGTACGTTCTATGGGTTTGGACAAATGTGTACTGACAGGTGTCCCCTATCATAGTGTCCTGCAGAATAGCTTGATTGCCTTCAAAGTCCTCCAAGCTCCAGCCGTTCATCCCTCCCTCCCCCCTAACCCCTGACTACCACTGATCTTTTTACTGTCTCCATGATTTTACCTTTGCCAGGATATTACATACTTGGAATCGTACAGTATATAGCCATTCCAGAATGGTTTCTTTCACGTACGGTTCCTCCATGTCTTCTCATGGCTGGCTCGTTCCTTTTCGGCACTGAATAACTGGGTACACTAGTTTATCCATCCAGCTGCTGGAGGACATCTTGGTTGCTTCCAACTTTTGGTATGGACAAAAGTTTTCAACTCTCTTACCAAGGAGCACGATGGCCGGATCACATGGTGATCATATGTTTCATTTTAAAGAAACGACTGAAGTGGTTGTACCATTATGGATTCCCACTAGCAGTGAGTGAGAATGCAAATGACTTACCATGTGAGAAACCTGCACAGTTCTGTAGAGATGATTCTATTTTTTTTAAAAGATTTTATTTATTTATTTGAGAGAGACCACAAGCAGGCAGAGAGTGGGGAATTAGGCTCCCTGCTGAGCAGAGAGCCCGGTGCAGGGCTCGATCCAAGGACCCTGAGACCATGACCTGAGCCAAAGGCAGAGGCTTTAACCCATTGAGCCACCCAGGCGCCCCAGAGATGATTCTAAATTTAGTTGATGGAAAGTTTATTCACGAAGACACCCAAAGTGTAAACAAACCTTTAAATATGTTTTTGGTTTCCTTAGTAATGAAAGATGTACATGTTAAGGTTGCTAGGATGTGTGTTCTCTGCCTATCAAAAAGCCCCAGGTAGGGGTGCCTGGGTGGCTCAGTTGTGATCTCTGTCTCTCAAATAAATAAAATCTTAAAAAAAAAAAAAAAAAAGCCCCAGGTAGTGACTCGTGGGTGGCTCAGTCAGTTGCGTGTCTGCCTTCGGCTCAGGTCATGAGCTCAGGGCCCTGGGATCGAGTCCCACATTGGACTCCTTGCTCAGCAGGGAGCCTGCTTCTGCCTCTGCCTGCTGTTCTACCTGCTTGTGCTTGCTCTCTTGCTCTCTCTGTCTGAAAAATAAGTAAATAAAATCTTAAAAAAAAAAAAAAAAAGCCCCAAGTGAAGATAATCCAGTGCTGTAAGGGCTTTATTTGTTGTGAAAATACTATATATTGGCTTTTTCCTGTTAAAAGTTCTTTGAGATAATTTGCCTAGGATCATATGAATTCACCCATTTAAAATGTTCACTTTAGTGGCCTTTTATGTATTCACATTTGTGCAAACATGCCCACAGTCCAATTTTAGAACATTTCCATCGTGTCCAAAAGAAGGGAGTGAAAAGACAACCCACAGAATGGGAGAAAAGATTTGTAAATCAACAATAAAAAACCCATTCCAGAAAATGGGCAAAGGACTCGAATAGACATTTCTTCAAGGAAGACATACAAATGGCCAATAAACCAAGGAAAAGATGCTCCCCATTACTAGACATCAGGGAAATGCAAATGAACACAGTGAAATACCACATCCCACCCCCCAGGATGGCTCTTAACATCAATGGCATGTTGATGAGCATGGGGAGAAATTGGAACTCTAGCATGTGACTGGTAGGAATGTAAAATGGGGCAGCCACCATGGCAAAAAGGCATGGTGGTTCCCCAAAATGTTGAGCATAGGATTGCCATATGACCCAGTAATTCCACTCCCAGGTATATGGCTGAAAGAAGTCAAGTAGAGAGACTCAGATGCTTGCCCATGAATCTCCGTAGCACCGGCATCACAGTGGCCAAAAGGAGGAGTCGACCCAAGTGTATCTAAGATGAACAAAATGTGATCTAGCCATATAACCGAGTGTTGAAACAAGTGAAAGAAGCCAGCACAAGAGGACAAATTACTGTATGGTTCCAGAGTCCTGGAGACAAAGTAGATGAGAGGTTACCAAGAACTGGGAGAAGGAAGTGGGTTGTTGCTTAATTGGTATGGTTTCTGTTTGGGAGGATGAAAAAGTTCTGGAAATAGATAGTGGTGATGGTCACAGGACATTGTGAATGTATCTAATGGCAATGAATTGTACACATAGAAATGGTTAAAATGATAAATTTTATGTATATTTTACTACAATAGAAAACAAACAAGAAACCCTAGCACCACTTAGCTGTCACCCCCCAGTTCCTCCACCCCTGGCCCTAGGCAGCCATTAACCTACTCTCTGTGGATTTGTCTGTTCTGGACATTTCATAGAAATGAAACCATACAATAACATGGTCTTTCGAGACTGGCTTCTTTCATTTAGCATAACGTTTGCAAGGTTCATCCATGTCCTAGCATGTGTTAACTACGAATTTCCTGTTTGTATGTTTGCTTGAATTGGCAGAATAATTTATTTTTATTTATTTATTTTTAAAGATTTTATTTATTTTGGAGCGAGAACGAGTGCGTGCATGTGAGTGGTAGTGGGAGGGAAGAGAGAGGGAGAGGGAGAGGGAGAGAGGGAATCTCAGGCAGACTCTATACTGAGCCTGGAGCCTGACGCAGGGCTTGATCTCAAAACGCTGAGGTCACGATCTGAGCTGAAACCAAGAGTTGGATGTTTAACTGGCTGACCCACCTAGGCGCCCTTGGGGATAATTATTTTATTTTTTATTTTTAAAAATTAGTATTTAGGGGTGCCTGGGTGGCTCAGTTGTTTGGGCAACTGCCTTTGGCTCGGGACGTGATCCTGGCACCCTGGGATTGAGCCCCATGTTGGGCTCCTTGCTCGGGGGTGAGCCTGCTTCTCCCTCTCCCTCTGCCTGCTATTCCACCACCTTGTGCTCTCTCTCTCTCTCTCTCTGTCAAATAACTAAATAAAATTTTTTAAAAATTTAAAAATTTTTATTTAGGGGCACCTGAGTGGCTCAGTGGGTTAAGCTTCTGACTTCAGCTCAAGTCATGATCTCGGGGTCCTGGGACTGAGCCCCACATCGGGCTCTCTGCTCAGCGGGAGCCTGCTTCCCCCCCCACCTGCCTCTCTGCCTACTTGTGATCTCTCTCTGTCAAATAAATAAAATATTTAAAATTTTTTAAATTTAAATTTGAGTTAGTTAATATACAAATTTCCTGTTTCTTAAATGTCTTCTTTAAGACAAATTTTTGTTTTTTTAAGATTTTATTTATTTATTTGACAGAGAGAGAGACATCACAAGTAGGCAGAGAGGTAGGCAGAGAGGCAGGCAGAGAAAGGGGGAAGCAGGCTCCTTGCTGAGCAGAGAGCCCGATGTGGGCCTAGATCCCAGAACCCTGAGATCATGACCTGAGCCGAAGGCAGAGGCTTAACCCACTGAGCCACCCAGGCGCTCAAGACAAATCTTTTTTAGAGCAGTTTCAGGTTCACGGCAAAACTGATAGGAAAGAACCGACAGTTCCCACACGCCCCCTGCCCCCAGTATGTGCACAGCTGCCCTCATGAACAACATCCGCTCCAGAGTGATGTGTTTGTTAACAACCGAAGAGCCTGCACTGACATCATCACCCAAAAGTCATAGTTTCCATCCGGGTTCCCTTTTGGTGCTGTACCTTCTATGGGTTGGCTTTCTTCTTATGGTGGAATGGTATTCCATTGTATGGCTCTAATACCGCGTTTTCTCTATCTGTCCATGAGCTGATGGACATTGGGGTTGTTTCCATTTTTTTGGCTCTTGTGTGTAATACTGTTAGGAACATCTGTGGCCAAGTGTCTGTGAGGACATGGTTGTCTGTTTTCTTGGGTATACCCATAAGAGTGGAATTGCTGGGTCATATGGTAAGTCTGTATCTTGAACAGCTGCCAAAGACACAAGGCCCTTATCAGACATAGGATCTGCAAATGTTTCCTCCCACTATGTGCACTGTCTTCCCACTTTCTCGGTGGTGTCTTTTGAAGCACAGAAGTGTAAGGTTAGTCCTTTCAAAAGGCAGTTTATCAGAACATCAGGACCCATAGGCATTTTTAAATTCTTTGCTCTGTTGTTGTTGTTTCGTTGTTGTTGTTTTAAGATTTTATTTATTTGAGAGAGAGAAAGCACAAGCAGGGGGAGTGGCAGAGAGAGAGAGAGAGAAAGAGAGAGAGAAGCAGGCTCCCTGCTGAGCAGGGAGCCCGACATGGGGCTCCATCCCAGGACACCAGGATCATGACCTGAGTTGAAGGCAGACACTTAACCAGCTGAGCCATCCAGGCGTCCCTGCTCTGGTATTTTCAGTCCTGGAAGCTGGCCCCAAGGAGATGATGAAGGGAAAGAAAAAAGCGATTGTGTACCAATATGTCTGGGGCAGTGTCATGTAAAAGAAAAACTGGAAACAGCTTAAATGTGCATTCACTGAATTATGGAATATTATGCAGACATAAAATTATAAACCTGATCATGTAGATTCATGAATTATGTCTAAGTGGAAGGAGTAGGCTATGCAGTCAGATCAGAAGTAGGTGGGATGAAGGGATAGGAAGGGGACTGACAGCTGGGTGACAGAGAAGGGGTTGTCAGCAAACATGCGCAGTGCTGTCATGAAGCAACATGTAAAAGTGAGGCGTTGGCCTTACCAGATCCTCACAGAATTATGGGGCCATGCACTGGGGTTGGACCCTATTAGGGCATTGCTGTCAAGATACCTTCTAGCTTTCTCTAGGCATCATTTTATAAAAGTGTGATTCAGTTAGACAATGTCATTTTTTTTTTTTTTATCTTGCCTTTGTCACTCATCATTAAGGCCATGGGGACACGTCCACTTCTTCATGGTCTTTTGAAGTCGAGCTTCATTGGCTGTATGATACCCTTTGTCTGTAGTGCAGTCCCTTACTTAACTCCACTTGGGGCTTCCATGAACACAAGAGGTGCTTCTGGTTCCTTTTCCACGAGGATTAAAGTCTTTATGTGCTAAGCCATTCCTGAATTTCAGATGAATTTCCTGAAGCAGAATTATAAGGGAAATGGTATGAACAGTTTTCAAAAGCCTTTTTTTTTCAGACTCTAAAACAATACGTATTTACTGTGGACAATCTGAAAACCACACACAAAGGAGAAGAAAAGCCATACCAAACCACCCCTATTCCTACTGCCAGAAAGAGCATCGCATATAATTGTCTTTTCCCTGTGGAGATGCATATCTATACACGTCTGGTAGTCTGTTACCTCATTGGGACTGTCCTGTTGGGCAGTTTCATAGACAGCTGTGGAATGTGTTTCTTCTCATGTCTTTAGAATTAGACTTACATTAACCAAAAATAGATGCACAGTGCTCCATTGTATGGATGGAAGATTTCCTCAACTGTTCTTGCTTGTTGAAACATTGCCCTGATGGGGACAATTTTAGGCTCTTGTTACATATTGCTTTCTGAGTGAGCTGTGTTCTCCTGATGCTGTCATCAAAACTGGGGTATTTTTAATTGGCTTTAAAAAGTTTACAAAAGCAGGACACGTTCTATGGGGAAAAGTTTGTAATAAAGAAATAAGTATGTAAAATATAAGAGGCCCCCGCTCGGAGTCCCACTGCCAAGAGTTTCATGTGTACCCTTCTAACACACACACACACACACACACACACATACACACACACACACACACACACACACACACACACACAAATACACTGGTTAATTTTGTAATCAACACAGGATTATATTGCGTGTACTTCCCAGAAACTGGCATTTTTCCACTACCGTATCACTGGGGCATCATTATTTGCTGGGGTCTCCAGACCTACCTCAGTCCCCAACAGCTGCAGAACAGCCTGCCACATGGCGGCCGTGGTTCCTTTAGCCATTTCCAGAGGAATGTTTAGGTGGTTTCAAGGTTTTCACAATCACAAACATTGCTGCGGTGAACAGCCTGGAACAACCATCCATGGGAGAGAGTTCTGGAAGTAGAAATGCTCTGAGAGCCATGCCACAGCCTCTGGTTTTGTTATGTGTTCTTCTGGTGGCTCTTTGTGCCGGTATCCCACCTCATGGACATGTCTTGGCTATCTCCTGCACAGGACCTCAGCTTGTAGTGGCTCCCCCAAGACCGAAGAGACACCACTCTCTCCTGTGAAGGCCTCCATCTTCACCCCACCTGTCTTGCTCAAGTTCCAGCCTGTGCCAAGACCCAAAGATGACTCTGAGAACGACCCCAGCAGCACAGAGTCTGTGCCTCCCAAGAGGGGTGCATAACCTCTTCCCTACAGACCATGGCTAGAGGAGTGAATAAAGTTCCTGTGGAGGTGCTTGCTTGTGCTGGGCTCCCTAGAAGCCGTACAGTCCCATGGGCTTCCTCCAGTTGGAAGAGGTGGTCAGGGTGGTGCAAGCCTGAGGCCCCAGCGGCCTGAGCCTGCATCTGCTAATTGGTCAGGGTGGTGGTAGTGTGTAGTCCCCTTGCTTGCACTCTCATATGGGAATTGAGCCACGGTACTTTTTTTTTTTTTTTTTTAAGATTTTTTTTTTATTTGAGAGAGCGAGAGAGCATGAGTGGGGATGAGAGGGAGAAGCAGGCTCCCCGTTGAGCAGGGAGCCCTATGTGGGGCTCAATCCTAGGACCCTGGGGTCATGACCTGAACTCAAAGCAGACTCTTGACTGAGCCACCCAGGTGCCCCAGCCATGGCGCTTTGAAAGAGAAATGAGTGATGAGACAAGGCTGTCCTTCCCTACAGGGACTCTGGCCCCTTTGGGTCTCGCTTGACCCCACTGAATAGGAAGTCTACCATTTTTCCCTATACTTGGCCCCTAAACTCAAACTTTATCCAGGTGTGGGTTTAAAAACAGTGATCTGTTCCCTCTCTTGAGGAAAATAAGCTGGTGTATTAGTTTCCAACTTGGCACCTCCCCAAGGAATTTCAGAGACAGTGACTCCCCTCACGCAGTAACCTGAGAATCAAACCTGCATGGGAGATATGAGTCCTCACTAAATGCTTTGTGACTGCTGGACATTAGCAGATAATCACTGAACCCTTGTGTATGCCCCACACCTTGCTTGGGACTGGAGATAATAAGCCAAGTCGTTGGGGGTCCCTGCTCTTAAGGAGCTTACATCCTATCCTCGTGTATGTGTCTGTGTGTGTGTAACCAGTGCAGAGGTCTAATTAATAACAGGGTTCTAAGTTGTGGTAAGTCCTGTGGGAGCTGAGTTGGACATGTATGCAGTGGGCTGTCAGGGAGGGCTTCTCTGAGGAGATGACGTTTATATTGAAACCTAGAAGATGAGAAGGAGGCAGCCATGAGATGAGAAAGGCCAAGGAAGCTGGCTTTGGGTGGCTGGCTGGTGGTACAGTTGAGTACGGGGAAGAAGGGGGATGGAGAATTCTGTTTTGACCAGACGTGTTAAATTTGAGATCAGGGGTATCTAAGTAGAGGTCAGGAATCTGGAGTATTGGCCGTCTAATGATGAGAATCAAGGGATACAAGTAATATTTAAAGCCACGAGCCTGTGTAAGATCACCCAGTGCGTGGGTGTAGATGGAAGCCCAGGGCTTAGGCTGGAGCACATGAACATAGTGATCTGGTCAAGGGAAAGGGTCCATAAGGGGTAGAGATACGTGAGGGCTTTAGATTTTTGGACTTAATGGCTACTTGTCCCTAATTCGCCCAGAAGAGGGGCCTGGAGTCGGTGGGGACTGAATAGGGGGAGCAGAACGGGCACACAGCGAACATGGACGTGCCTTTGGAGTTGTCTGCGGTGGAAGGAAACAGATGAGCCCGAGGCTGATGGGACTTAAGGTGCCCGGCTGACTTAAAGACCTGAGAGCCCAAGTGAAACCAGGGCGCGCTTGAGCAGGAATGGCACGTAGCCAGGCCTGGATGAGGAAGCGAAAGATCCAGAGAGAGGACCCCCGGCGCCTGAGAAAGTAGGGCCTCGAGACAGAGGCCCCTTGCCTCACCATCGTCTAAGCCTTATGGTGAATTCGGCCCATGCACCCTAGAACCAGGCATACTTGCTGGGCATGCGCACTCGGCACCAGGTGTCCCAATTCCCTTAGGCGCGGCGCCCGCTTCCGGGGCGGGTCCACGAGACCCGGAAGTAATTAGGAAGCTGGGCCGGGAAGTCGGAATTTGGATTGTTTGCCGTCGTTTCTCCGCACTCGCTAGTCCTGGCACTGCCAGCGCCGCCGCCGCCGCCGCCGCCATGGGGAAGCGACAGCATCAGAAGGACAAGATGTAAGTTGAGCCGCAGCCGGAGCGGAGCCTCGCTCGGCCTCAGTGCCCGCCTGTCCCGCACACCGCGCCGCCCTTCTTCCCTCTCTCAGAGCTGGTTCCCGGAGCGGCTCGTAAATGGCGCTTCGTGCCGGAAGCCTCTGCCCCTTCCCCAGGCGGGGAATTATCCCGCGTTCCCCCCACCCCCAGCGCCGAGGTCTCCCGGGCTCCCGGTTCTAACACGCCGTAGGTGCCGTCTTCTGAGCGTGGTCCTCCCACTGCCTTGGCGCTGGGCGAGCACGGGCCCCTCTGCACTCCCGAGCTCGGCTCCCGAATCAGCCCCTGCCTCTCCCGCACCTCCAGTTTCCCTGAATGCTGGTTCATCCGCCTACACTCATGTCCCGGAGTCTTGCAGTTTAAAACAAAACTAGTCGTGCCCCGTGCTCCCCTTCAGCTGCTACTGTGATTTTTTTTTTTTTTTCTTTCTCACAAGACGTGAAAGACTTGCGTCTGCTTGCTGTGTTATGATGTCTTCTTGAAACTACTCCAGGCACGCTTGACTCCCCAGCACTACTCGTGTCAGGATCCTAGTAACTTCTCTGTTGCTAAATCTAGTGATCAGTTCACAGTTCTCATTTTGTTGGGCTTCTCAACAGCATGACACAGCTGACCACCTCACTCCTTCTGAACACCTTCTTTGGTATGTGGGACATCATATGCTGTTGGTTTTACGTCTGCCTCAGTGGCGTCTCTATCCTCAGTCTCCTTTGCTGGATCCTCTTTCCTCTCCCAGAGTTCATACATCCATGCTCTCCACGTTTTTTCTTCCCTTTATGTTCTTTGTGATCTCCCCTCGTGCAGTAGTCAGCTGCTTACTCAACATTTCCAGCTGGAGGTCTGATAGACATCTCAAATTTAATATGCTCCTCCTTCATCTCCCCTCTGTCAGTGGTCACACCGACATTGGGTTTCTTAGTAGTCTGGGAGTTAGCTTTGAGGCCTCTTTTCTGCAGCTCTCTCCTCCCCCTGTTCATCAGTAAATCCTTGTGGCTCTTCCAGGAGCCACTTCTCACTCATCCAGCAACCGTCCGGTAGGAGGAGTTTATGCGCACTCGTCCTTGAACCATTGTAGTTGCCTTCTGATTGGTTTTCTGCTGCCTCTCTTGCTTGTCCCTCTCTACACAGACTCCAGTGAAATGCTTTGAGGACTTAATGTTAGTTATGCCAGGGCCTTACTCGAAACCCTCCAGCAGCTTTCCATACTGCTTAAAGCCAATCCTTAGCCCTTACCCGGCTTGTGGGGCCCTGCGTGATCTGACCACCACCCTTCTTCATCTGCTCCTGGATGCTCCTGTGTGCTTTTCTTCAGCGACTTCACCCTTTTCTGAAAACACAACAGCTTTTCCTATCTCGGGGCTTTTATATGTGATAAGCCTGCTTGGTCTCTCTCTACCTGGAAAGTTCTTCCCTCAGATCTTCACATGGCTAGCTCCTTTGCATCTTTAAGCCTTCTGTTAAATTCTGTTCATTTCCTTCAGAGGAAAGCAGGACTATTTGTATTTGCTTATTAGTTTGTGTATCTCTGTGTTCTGTTGTATTAACCACTATGTGTCTGACACATAGCAGGTGTTTTATAAGCATTTGCTGAATGAGTGAAACGATTCAGTCATCGGTTACTTCCAGAGACTGTCCTCTTTATAAAGGGTGGTGGTAGTAAGATTCTCTTTCTCTTCTTCAGGTACATTACCTGTGCTGAATACACTCATTTCTATGGTGGCAAGAAACCAGGTAAGGCATGAAATCCTTCTGTTTCCCTTGGTGTGGATGTGTGTGTATGGGGGGGGGGTTGTTATTAAGTAATAATGGTCTTCACTACACAGTGAGACTGTAAAAGTTAACAATGAACAAGAACACAGAAAGTGTAGCAGACAGATGGGTTGAGAACACAGATAATTAACAAAAAAGAACACTGAACACATGAGAAAATTAATCTCGGTGAGGGTATATATATCTATATATATTTTTGTGACAGTATGCCTGAGAGCAACTGCAAGTGGGGGAAGGGGCAGAGAGAAAGAGAGAGAGAGACTCAAGCAGTCTCCATGCTGAGCACAGAGTGGACAAGGCCTTGATCTCATGACCCTGAGACCATGACCTGAGCCAAAATCAAGAGTCAGTTGCTTAGGGGCACCTGAGTGGCCTAGGGGGTTAAGGCTCTAGTTCAGGTCATGATCTCAGGGTCCTGGGTTTTAGCCCCGCGTCACAGTTTCTGCTCAGCACGGAGCCTGCTTCCCCTCTCTCTGTGCCTACTTGTCTGCCTACTTTTGATCTCTCTCTCTCTGTCAAATAAATAAATAAAATCTGTTAAAAAAAAAACAAAACAGTCAGATGCTTAACTGACTGTGCCACCTAGACACTCTGGTGGTGATATTTTTTGACATAAATAAACATTCTTTTTTCTGTCAAGTTAATAATGAAAAGAATGATAATACTCAAGGTTATCAAGGCTGCATTAAAAAGAGCACATTCTCATTAATTGCTGATGGGGGTAAAACCAGCACAACTGTCTTGGAAAGCCAAGCCAGGCCCCACAACAACGTTGTGGGAGAAACCCAACCTCAGTGGCTTATTGCTCTAAGTTTATTCTTGATATACTCCATGTGTTCTACCTATTGAAAGGTTTTGTTTGTTTGTTTTTAAGATTTTTATTTATTTTTTTGGAAGAGGGAACACAAACAGGGGGAGTGGGAGAGGGAGATGCAGGCTTCCTGCCAAGCAGGAAGCCTGAAGCGGGGCTCATTCCCAGGACCCTGGGATCATGACCTGAGCCGAAGGCAGACACTTAATGACTGAGCCACCCAGGCGCCCCTATTGAAAGGTTTTTAACCCATACTAGTGTTAGTGTTTGCACTAGGTAGTTAACATGAACTTTTTCTTTTCTTTTTTTTTTGAAAGATTTTATTTATTTATTTGACAGAGATCACAAGTAGGCAGAGAGGCAGGTAGAGAGAGAGAGGAGGAAGCAGGCTCCCCGCTGAGCAGAGAGCCCGATGTGGGGCTCGATCCCAGGACCCTGAGATCATGACCTGAGCTGAAGGCCAGAGGCTTTAACCACTGAGCCACCCAGGTGCCCCTACATGAACTTTTTCTTAACATGGGATTGAGTTGGTGGTAGGAACACATACATGAAGTTATTTATAGAATAAGCTTTCTTTTATTTTCATCTTAAACAGATATCCCACAAGCCAATTTTCGTCGTTTACCTTTTGATCACTGCAGGTAAGAGTTTCAAGTGTTAATCTGTTCCTCCTACTTGTTTCCTGGTACTCGTTATTTGACAGTGAATCTGGTCCTTGGGGATGCATATGTGGGTTCCGTCTGTATTCCCCCACCTAGATCTTCCTTGAACTGAGAGAAGGTGACCTAAGAGTGATAAGAATTAATACTTAACTTTCTGTTCAATTCTGTGTCTGTATGTTTATGCATTGTTTCTTTTAGCTTCTTTCTTACTTTCTAAGGTAAGTAGACTCTGTTGTTAAGCCTGTTTTACACTTGAGAGAGTCAGTATTTAAAAGTGGGAAGTCCCTCACTCTGGCATCACATCCAGAAAGTGATGCCACTGAGGCTTGAACCCAGTGGTCTGACTCCGGGCCCATGTCTTTCGTGCTTTACTTTTAGTCCAGGGTCTAAGTAATAACAGCATCAGTAGTAGTCATGATACTGTGAACCCCTTCCCCCTTCCCTGGGAACACAGGTTACTGTTGGGGATGGGGAGAGACCCAAATGTAGACACTCCCAGATGCTTTTTCCCATCATGGTTGGTATGTGTATGAACAGAAGGTGGGTCTGCTGGAGAAGTGGGACTAGCATTAATGAACTCCAGACATTGGGGGTTGGGGGGATGGTCCACTTGGGCCTCAGTTTCCCCAGGCTTAAGCTGTGATCATCCCTGGTCTGGACACATGCATTGTGGGTGTGGGTGTGTGTGTGTGTCCCGTTGGTTTCTGATTCCGTAGGTCATGATGGGCCTTGAGAACTGACAGAGCTCTCCTAGTGCTCTCAGACAGACACCACAGGGCAGTGAGCATGTAGGAAGGGCCAATGGTACAGCCACTCGGTCTGCCCCAGGAGGATCCCATGTAGCATTGAGTGAGGGCTTTTCCCTGCTCCTGGCAGTTGCTCAGGGAGGGTCCACAAGTGAGACCGAGGCATCATTGGTTGGATTTCTCCCCATGGATATTTGTCATCAGCCTCCTGGGAATCTGGTCTCATTCAGGGTGTGCATGAATGGATTTTATGGAAATACTTTCATCCTTGGTTTCCAGTTCCTCCAAGAGGTCTCTAAACTGTGTTTCATCCACTTTTTTTTTTTTTTTTTTTTTTTTTAAAGAGAGAAACCCTGATAATGGATTTTTGTGATGGCTGATGTTTTAGAGAGCACAGTTTATTTTTTTTATTTTTTATTTTTTTTAGATTTTTATTTATTTATTTGACAGAGATCACAGGTAGGCAGAGAGGCAGGCAGAGAGAGAGAGGAGGAAGCAGGCTCCCTGCTGAGCAGAGAGCCCGATGCGGGGCTCGATTCCAGGACCCCGGGACCATGACCTGAGCCGAAGGCAGAGGCTTTAACCCACTGAGCCACCCAGGCGCCCCTGTTTCATCCACTTTTTAACTACCTTGGGTTCTGGGTAAAAATGTGCTTTGAGAATATGTCCTTTGAGGCCCATTTTGGAGAAGATGCGTAGATGGTGTCTTGCCGTCTGGAGCTTGCTTTGGCGTTGGACCCTGTTGTCCTCAGCCCCCAGCAGCAGCAGGATCACCACTGGGTTAGAGTAATAGGTTGGCCCAGAAAGGGAGGTGGTGAGGTTGTTCCTTGAGGGCTTTCTGGAGCAGCATCTGGGGAGGTGACCCTATCACTGCCAGGCTGGGGACTGACCCGTGCTGACCCAACTTAGAGATGACCGATTTACAAACAAGCCAGGTCAGCCGGGGCTCTTGATGGCTGGCGATGGAAACCCTGTGCAAGAGAAAAGGGTATTGGCTCGAGGAAGTTCACCAGGTATAATCTCCCTTCATCTGTGGGTTCTGCTTTTTATCCTCTGCGAGGTGGTAGATAGCTTGTGGCAGTCTGGGTCTCTGCAGACCCATCTGCCCCCATATCCGTGTATTAGAACTTACCCAGGACTCCTAGGGCACTTGCCTGAGTCACGTGCCTACCCCTTGGAAATGTGGGGGGGGATTGTGTGTACACTCTAAGCAGGAGTGGGCCCAGCACCCCCAGACCAGGATAGGCCCGCCAGAGTCTCTTGGGATGAGGGCAGCTCTCAGTAGAAGAGTGTGGCCTGCCTGCTATGTGAGGTTTTAGGGAGTGGAGTCTAGTCCCGCCCCCCCAAGGCCACCTCCAGGAACTTGTTTTGGGCTCGAACATGTCAAATGACACAGCAGAGAGTGTGGGGAAAGAGAGGCTGCTGTTGCCCCAAGGTGCTCTCAGCACCTCTTGGGACCCTTGCCCTGTATTTATTGGTGTGTATAGGGAGCTTATGAGGGGCAGGGATGTGGGGTTCACCTCTGAACCGACACCCAGCCCTGGCTGGGCAGAGGAGCCCTGGAATTGTTGGAGGGAAGAAGGAAGAAACAAAGGGAGAAGTCATGGGAGCCACTGCGTGACCTGGAGTGACTCTGCCCTTTTCTCAGTCTCTCTCTGCAGCCCTTCGCCTACCCGGTCTGCACCCCTGAGGGTGTCGTCTTCGACTTGCTGTGAGTTTTCCCTTGACTTTTGAGCTAACAAAGGGGGTGAGATTGTTGACACCCACTCGGGAAGGGGGTATGGAACCAGCTGGGGGGTTTGAGTCTTAGGCACTGCCAAGCCAGGCCACGCTGGGGTCTTGGCAGCCTCGGGAGTGTTGGGTGGCCTCTTGGGGACCCAGGAGACTTCCGGAGCTTCAGGGATGAGGCCATAGTGTTGTTGTGACCCTTGGGCAGGCAGCCTTGCCGGCAGGCACTACTGTCCCTGCCTGGGGTGGCATTGACCTCTCCCCATCCAGGGGTGGGGGCTCCTAGGGTTCTAATTGGCCTACCTATACCTGTTTTGGGATGTTAACAAACTTGAATACTTTTTGCTTTATGAAAGTAGAGCCATAATTTAGGTACACTTTCCCCGTACTGTGTTTTGAAGTATGGTGCTCAGTTTTATGTCCCAGCATAAATCAGCTTCTGTAAATTCTTTTTTTGTTTTAAAGATTTTATTTATTTGACAGACAGAGATCACAAGTAGGCAGAGAGGCAGGCAGAGAGAGAGAGAGGAGGAAGCAGGCTCCCTGCTGAGCAGAGAGCCCGATGCGGGGCTCTATCCCAGGACCCTGAGACCATGACCCAACCCGAAAGCAGAGGCTTTAACCCACTGAGCCACCTAGGCGCCTCAGCTTCTGTAAATTCTTCATGCTTCAGTCTCTATTTAGAAAATGTGGAAAATACTTCGAAGTTAAAGGAAAAATTTACCATAATAACACTATCTGGGATAACTGTAGTCAACATTTATACTCTTCTTTTTCCGTGAGTTTATTTGTGGTACGTGGTTGGGGTAGTACTGTGAAGACAGTTCTGAATCTGTTTTTCACCCAGTTGTGTCATTCAGAATTCTCTGGAAGCCTGACTTTTGGTGCTGGCCCAGTATTTCACTGTGTGGACATATCAACATTTATGTTTATCTTTTTTTGCTGCTTTGTGTTGTTTACCCATAACCACAATAAAAACGCTGGATATACATTGAAACCCATGTATCCAGAAACACTTCTCACTTCCTTGGTCAAGGCAAGGGGCTAGCAGAAGTGACGCAGAGCGAAGCCCATTCGCACCGCTCACCTGGACGCGGCCCTCGTGGATGTTGGGCTCATCACCGGGCTGCACCTGGTCGCCTGGCTGACATTCTCTCTTCTCTTCCCTTCAGTAACATCGTCCCTTGGCTTAAGAAGTATGGGACCAACCCCAGCAACGGAGAGGTAGGTGGCCGGCATGAATTTTTAAATAATGCCGATTGAACGCTGTCCTCTCGTCTGTCCTTTGTTCTGTGGTTTTTGCGTACACATGAGAGCGGTAGAGGACTGTGCATGGGGCACCATGAGTGGGACTGTCCTCCCCTCTCTTCCCCACACTGTTCCTTTCTGGAAATGTTCCTTACATGTACGTGCGTGTGTACAAACATCCATTTTCTTTTTTTTTTTTTTTTTTTTTTTTTTTTAAGATTTTATTTATTTATTTATTTATTTGTCAGAGAGAGAGGGAGAGAGAGAGCACAGGCAGACAGAATGGCAGGCAGAGGCAGAGGGAGAAGCAGGCTCCCTGACGAGCAAGGAGCCCGATGTGGGACTCGATCCCAGGACGCTGGGATCATGACCTGAGCCGAAGGCAGCTGCTTAACCAACTGAGCCACCCAGGCGTCCCACAAACATCCATTTTCTTTCCTTGGGTCCTGATGCAGTCCCCTGCATGAACCTCACTGTACCTTGCTTCCTCGCCCGTTAGGGTGTTGGAGATCTGAACGTCAGTGTGTAGAACTGTTCCACGTTCTGTCGTGGCTGCACACGTCTTCTTGTGGGGCTTTTGTGGCATGTTGGAAGTCACCTGCTGTTACAGCGGACAGCGACCACCTTGTGCCCATCTCTGGACACATATATGGGGGTCCTCCCAGGACTGCTGGGTCACAGGGAGGGTGTGTTTCCTGTTTCGGCAGCTACTGGCAAACTGTCCTCTAGAGAAGTGGCAAATGCCTGTTCCCCATACCCTCAATAACCACAAGGATCAAGTTTTTAGAAATTTTCTTTGCCTCAGGGTGAGAGCATTTAAAAAAACATTTTAAGATTTTACTTTTAAATAATCTCTACACCCAGTGCGGGCCTCGAACCCACAACCCTGAGATCAGAGTTGCATGCTCCACTGACTGAGCCAGCTAGGCGCCCCTTAATTGGTGTTTTTATTATGAGCAAGGTTAAGCAGCTCCTTCTCTGTCACGCACACAGGCCCAGTGTCAGGAATTCTGTGCCACTTGGGAAAAGAGCCCCAGAGCCAAGTTCCAGCGTAGTCGCCTTTTCTGTCCCCCACTGCGGGCCTCCATCATAAACCTGTGGGGCTGCTGCCTTTCCCATACTCTGGTGGTCCCTTTACTTCTTGGGGCCCTCTTGTTCCCTTACACTGCGGCACAGGCCCATTTCTTCAGTTCGCAGCTGCAACAGGCAGGGCCTGGGAGCTGTCGGCTGTGGGAGGTAGGGGCACTCCCTGGCAGGGAGCCGGGGATGGGGGTTGAGGGCCTTGGGGAAGGGTGTTGGAGCAGCGCCGTTGAAGCTGAGACCCGGGGATGGTGGCAGATGGTCAGAGGCCATGTTAGGGAGGGCTTGAAGGCCCTGGGGGGAGTTTGGGTTTGTTCTGGGGGCACTGGAAGCTGGACAGGGTTTCATGCAGAAGCATGTTGTGATCTGGCCTGTGTCTTTGTTTTATTTCAAAGAGTTTATTGATAGCACACAAACAGACAAAGCAGGCTCCCTGCCGAGCAGAAAGTCTGATTCAGGGCTTGATCCAAGGACCCTGAGATCATGACTTGAGCTGAAGGCAGATGCCTAACCGACTGAGTCACCCAGGCACCCCTGGCCTGCGTTTCGAAGGCTCAGTTTGGCTGTGGTGTAGGAAATAGGACTACAGGGAGGTAAGGTGGAAGGTGGGAAAGCAGCCAGGGGGCTGTGCCCTTGTCTGTGCAAGAGGTGCTGCGTGAACTTGGACCAGGATGGAGGCTGAGGAGGAGGCACAGAGAGACTGGACCCATGGTTGTTGTTACAGATGGACCTATGGGCCTTGCGGGGCTGTCACATGAGGGTCTCTGTTTCTCTGGGGCTGGGGAGAGCCCAGTAGGAGCCTTTTAGTGCAGTCCCATCTTGGGAGGACTGAGTCACTTACGTCCTGTGCCAGGGATGCCTGGGACAGGCAGGTGGAACTGGGTGATTCAGCCTGTGCTTGGTGTTCCAGGCCAGTGGGCCTTCAGCAGGAAGGTCTATCCCTTTGAAGCAGAACCCTGAGCGGCAGGAGGGATTTGGGTGCATGGAGTGGGGCAGGCAGTTGGGGTGGAGGTGGGATGAGGAGGGCCAGCAGGGAGGGTAGGGACTTCTGTGGGACCTTGGAGGACAGTTGATACCAGGGGGAGGTGTTTGAGGCCGAGAGGTTTTTCACCTCATGAAATATGGCCTGTGTGAGGAGGAATAGCGGGCTGGGCGAGGTGGCCGGTTCTGGCACCGTGGAGTGGAGAGCTGGCCGGAGCCAGGGGCTTGGAGCCCATCTGCTAAGATGAGGCCCTTCCCCGAAGGGGAAGACAGCAAGCTGGCTGAGGCCTGGTCAGCTCTGTGATGGAGACCCTGGCGGCCATGCAAGGTGGAGGCCACCTTCAGGGAGGCCCAGGAGGACCTGGGTGCTGTGAGGCTTGAGGGGGAGGTTAGTGAGGGGGCGAGCAGTGTGAACGGTGTCCTGGTCGCTAGCCTAGGACAGGTGAAATGTCACTGGTTTATAACTTAGCTGAGGTCTTGTTACCTGATTCCTAGAGGCCCTTCTGTGCTGTCTGGACTCCTCTGGCCCTTGTGACAGAGTGTAGGGTGCCGTTGGCCCCTTGTATCAGGTGGGTGGCTCACCAGTGGTCCTTCCCTGCCCTTGGAAGAAAGGGGGTTAGACTGGGGGGGTCGTGCTTTCTGGGCCCAGCCACCCAGAGCCTGTGGGTTTTTTTCTCAGATGGCTGAGGTGGTGCTTGTGCCCTGGTCTCCAGAAGAAGAGCGTGCTCCTTCAGGTGTCTGCTGTGTCCTTCCTCACTTTTTGTCATTCAGAAGCGTGACTAGGCAGTGTTTTCCTGTGAGGCCTTCTGCTGAGAAGCCCCTGTGGGCTTCCACGGGCTTCCTGTGGGGTCTGTGCTGCCTGCCTGTGCCCCGTGATTGGCTTGTGCTCGGGGTTCATTGCCTTCCCTGACATGAGTGTCACGTCTGAGCAGACGAGTCTGCAGGGCTCATCCACAGCCAAGGCTCCGTGCTCTGAGCTCCCAGTGGTGGCTTTCCGCCTCCACCCTACCCCTGGACCGCCTCAGGTCTTCTTGTCCCTGCTTGTCGTCACGGCCTCGGTCTCCTTCCCCATGGATATTGTCATTTGGTTGGGTCTAGGGCACTTTTTGTTTCGGGCTTTTTGCTTCACGGGTGCTCTTTAGGGTCCCAAAACATGTAGCTGCTCTGGGCTCGGCCTCTGGCCAGGCCTAACGTGGCAGCTAAACCAAGGGCAGTTCACCAGGAGCTGGCTTGGCCCATGTCACTTCCCGGGGACCCAGGAGGAGCATGTTGTGTGCAGGATCATGTACCCAGACTGCCTGGGCCTGAAGCAGGAGTGCTGTCTGATGGGAGCAGCCTGGGAGTGAGTACCCTGTTGCTGAATGCTCACTGCACTGGTGGTGGGGCGGGGGCAGTTGAGTGGCCACCGCAGGAATGAAACCAGCCGTGGAGGAGCTGGTGAGGGCTGGCCACTGCAGGAGGGCGAGGACATGGGGGCCTGGCTCTGGGTGGCCTGCCCAGCATCTCCTCTGTGGCTCGGCTAGGCAGGGCTGGGCTGGGCTGGCGCAGGAGTGGCCAGGCGCCACTGGGATGTGGGCTCTCAGTTTGGTGCTCCGGGGCACGCAGCTCTCCCTCCCCCTTCTTGTGGTCTCTCTGTAGTCCCCTTCTCTTGCTCCAATCCAAGCCCCCCACCTTGGGGCAGCTCTTTTCTTCTGGCTGCCTGGACCTTATTTTATTGTAAAGTCGCCGATAGAAGAGGTAAACTACAGATGGCGCAGGAACTTTGAAAACTAGAGGATCCCATCACAGTCACTCCACATGTGGGGGTATTGATTCCTCCCCGCCTCAACAAACTAGTCCTAATGCAGAACAGCAGGGGCACGCTCGTGTACTCCCCAGCTAGGTGAAGAAGTAACATTTATTTGTTTGTTTAAGATTTTATTTGTTTGTTTGACAGAGAGAGACACTGCAAGAGAGGGAACACAAGCAGGGAGAGCGGGAGAGGGAGAAGCAGGCTTCCCGCCGGGCAGGGAGCCTAATGCGGGGCTCCATCCCAGGACCCTGGGATCATGACCTGAGCCAAAGGCAGACATTTAACCGACTGAGTCACCCAGGCGCCCCCGTAACATTCTTTTTTTTTTTTTTTAATTTTTATTTATTTTTAAAATTTCTTTTCAGCATACCAGAATTCAGTTTATTGTTATTATTTTTAAGATCTTATTTATTTATTTGACAGAGAGAGAGAGATCACAAGTAGGTAGAGAGGTAGGCAGAGAGAGAAGGGGAAGGGGAAGCAGGCTCCCTGCCGAGCAGAGAGCCTGATGCGGGGCTCGATCCCAGGACCCTGAGACCATGACCTGAGCTGAAAGCCGAGGCCTAACCCACAGAGCCACCCAGGCGCCCCCAGAATTTATTGTTTCTGTACCATACCCAGTGTTCCATGCAGTACGTGCCCTCCATAATACCCACCACCAGGCTCACCTAGCCTCCCACGCCCCACCCCTCCAAAACCCTCAGATTGTTTTTCAGAGTCCATAGTCTCTCATAGTAACATTCATTTTTAACTTCAGCAGTAGTCAGTACATCAGGGCTCGCAATAAAAATGTGTCAGCATTTGAGAAGTATAAAACACACCTCCACTCTCGGCCTCTAGGCAGGGGTTGCCCTGTGAGCAGGTCAGTGTGCTGCTCAGTGGCTGGGGGTTCTGTGGGGCAGCCTCTCTTACCCATGTGACTGTTGGGTCTCAGGGCCCTCGGGGCGGCCCCTGTGGCTCTCCTCTTGCCTGCTGCTGTGAGGGCTCTGCGTGGTCAGAGACCTTACCCATCTCTCTGCCTCACCCATCCTCATAGGCCCGGCATTTCTTCACATCAGCCACTTGCTCCTTATTAATTATTAATTTTTCTTCCAGAAACTGGACGGGAGGTCCCTGATCAGGCTGAACTTTGCAAAGAACAAGGAAGGTGAGAGATCACTTTTACAGCCATTTCAAAGACTGCTCAGACCCCAGCGCCCCTGCCTCTCACCACGTTTTCTGCAGAATCCATCATTCTCCTCTGATCAAGCCGGACACTTAATTTTTCTTTTTCTTTTTCTAAAAGATTTTATTTATGTATTTGTGTTTGTGTGAGAGAGAGAGAGCGACCGCACAAGCAGGGAGAGGCAGAGGCAGAGGGAGAAGCGGGCTCCATGCCAAGCAAGGAGCCTGACATGGGGCTCGATCCCAGGACCCTGGGATCATGACCTGACCCAAACGCAGCCGCTTAACAGACTAAGCCACCTAGGCACCCCTTAATTTTTCAAATATGTAGGGGCGCCTTGGCTGACTCAGTCAGTGGAGCACACAGCTCTTGATCTTGGGGATGTGAGTTCAGGCCCCACCTTGGCAGTAAAGATTACTGAAAATAATAGAATGGTTGAAGTGGCAAAGGTTATGTGTATTTTGCCCCAATTAAAAAAAAAAGATGTAACATAATTTTTCCTTAAAGGTCCAGATGGTTTAAAGCTGGGGAGGGGGTAGGGGGTAAAATGTTGAGTTTTGGGCACTGCTTCTCACAAGGGCAGTGGGGGCTGTGAGGGTTGCTGATGGCCTTTGTGTGGACAGTTGGGCCCTGTGGGCATGGACCCTGTTTAGTTGCGACCCTGGTCTGCTCATTGCTGAGGCAAGAGCTGCTCAGAGGCCCAGGGCAGGTGGGGGTGGGGGTGTGTTGGGTTTGCTGGGGACTTCTTTGGCTGGGCTTCTCCTCACCGCTGGTTGTGAAGCCCCACGCCAGCCCAGGGATCCTGCTTTCCAGCTCTCCACACCCTCCGCTGTTCTTGTCAGATACCAGAGCTGAGGTGCTTCCCCGCCGGCTCCAACCTTGCTCTTGGCTCTTTGTGGGCCTGGCACAGTTCTCGCAGCCCATGCAGGTGCCACGGCTGAGGTGGTTGTGAGCGCTCAGTGGGTGCGTGCATCCCAGGGAAGATGCTGGGGCCTGACACGCCCGTCTTGCCCCAAAGCCTGGCCCAGAGTAGGTGCCGGCTCACTGTAAATGAGGGTATGGCCTCGACAAAACCGGAGCACGGCGCTTTGTGGATGGCCTGGGGACTCAGAGCTCCATGATGATAGATAAGCACTGCAGACCTGCTCAGAGCGCCGAGCTCTGAGGAGCTCGGAGATCCACTGACTCAGAGGCCCACTGTGTGTCTCATTCAGCACGTATTTACTGAGTGCCTGCCACGTGCAGAGAGCAAAACAGGCCACATCCCTCCTGGAGTAAAAGGAGCTTACATTACGGTGAGGGAGGAAACTGGACAACGGTTCATCATAGTGTTCGATGCTGCTTCTGCCACCAACCAAAGATAGGGAGCGGGGAGGTGAGGGAGTCACAGCGAGACATACTGATGGGGTTTGTGTGGAAATCCAATGAGACAGGAGGTGTGAGGGGATGTGGGGATAAGCATTCCAGGCAGAGGGCACAGCCAGTGCAAAGGCCCTGAGGAGGCCTCTATTGCTGGGACAGTGTTGGGGTGGAAGCAGGGAGCTACGGTTGGAGGGGTCCAGGGTGGGGATGGTGCACAGCAGTCATGCGGGACATGGGCACCCACAGGACTCCCAGCTGCCAGCCAGAGAGGAGAGATAAGATCTGACCATCCGACCATTCACCTGGTTTTATTGTTTTAACATTTTCGACCAGCCAGCACCTCTTTTTTTTTTTTTTTTTTTTTTTAAAGTAGGCTCGAGGGGCCCCTGGGTGGCTCCGTGGGTTAAGTCTCTGCCTTCAGCTTAGGTCATGATCTCAGGGTCCTGGGATTGAGCCCCACATTGGGCTCTCTGCTCAGCAGGGAGCCTGCTCCCACCTCCCGCTTGCCTCTCTGCCTGCTCGTGATCTCTCTCTGCCAAATAAATAAATAAAATCCTTTAAAAAAAAAAAAAAAAAGTAGGCTCCATACCCAGTATGGAGCTCAGTGCAGGGCTGGAACTCATAGCACTAAGATCAAGACCTGAGCTGAGATCAAGAGTTGGATGCTTGGAGCACCTGGGTGGCTCAGTTGGCTAAGCATCTGCCTTTGGTTCAGGTCATGATCTCAGGGTCCTGGGATCAAGCTCCGCATTGGGCTCCCTGCCCTGCAGAGAGCCTGCTTTTGTCTCTCCCTCTGCCTGCCACTCTGCCTGCTTATGCTCTCTCTCTGTCAAATAAATGAATAAAATCTTTAAAAACAAAACAAAACAAAACAAAAAAAGAGTTGGATGTCTAACCGACTGAGCCACCTAGGTGCCCCTTTTGCTTTGTTGTTGTTTTTAAAGATGTATTTGAGAGCGAGTGCGAGCATAGGCATGTGCATGTGTGTGAGGAGGGGGAGGGCAGAAGGAGAGGAGGAGAGGGAATCCTTAAGCAGACTCCACGCTGAGCACAGAGCCTGCCATGGTGCTCAATTCAAGGACCCTGGGACCATGACCGGAGTCGAAGTCAAGAGTTGAACGCTTAACCAACTGAGCCACCCAGGCCCCCTTTTGGCTTTGTTTTTATTTTATTTTATTTTATTTTATTTTTTAAAAAAATATTTATTTGAGAGAGAAAGAGAATGAGAGAGAGCAAGCATGAGAGGGAGAAGGTCAGAGGGAGAAGCAGACCCCTTGCTGAGCAGGGATCCTGATACGGGACTCGATTCTGGGACTCCAGGATCATGACCTGAGCTGAAGGCAGTCGCTCAACCAACTGAGCCACCCGGGCGCCTCTTTGGCTTTGCTTTTAATTGGAAACTCCAGACAAATGAAAGTAGAATTAGTACAGTGATCCCTGCTCCGTAGCCATCACCCAGTTCAGTTCCTGTCCACTCAGAGCTGTGTGGTTTTATCTGTGCTCCTGTGTGGCACCTGCTTAGGTAATTTTGAAGCAAATACAAGATACTGTGTCATTTCATGCTTAAGTGCTTCAGTGTATATGTCTAAACGATAAGGACTTAAAAAGTCATCATAGTACCATCATCACACCTAAACACTTAACAGGAATTCTTTAGTATCAGATATCCAGCCTATGGTCAAAATTCTGGAATGTTTTCGTAATCTTTTTCTTCTAGTTTTCAAATCAAGATTTTTTAGAAGCCCACACAAATCTGTGTGCTTGCTGTGTCCTGAGTCTCAATCTGTAAATATCCTACCCCCTTTTCCCGCAGTGTATTTGTTGGGACTTACTTGTACGGGCTTCCTGCCTGCCTGGTGCAGAGCTGGCAAGGCAGGGGCAGGGAGGGCAGTGGGAGTTTGTTGCAATAACGCAGGAAAGGGTACAGGGGGTTGGGGAATGTGGCAAGGTGTGAGATGGAGGAGACCAGGGTAGTGGCTGCTAGCAGCAGGCTGATGGCATAGACGCCTTCAAGGAAGGCCGTGCGGGGCTTGGGTTTTGTAGGACGATTAGGAGTTTCCCACTGGGATTGGAGCCAGGTCTTGAGCAGCTGACTGTCTGTGGGTCTCTGTTCTGGGCCTGCTGACACAGGGTTCTGTGTCCTCTCTTGCTCTGACCCCGGCCCTTTCTCCGACTGGTTTTGTATGTTCCTTCTTTCTAGGAAAGTACCACTGCCCAGTGCTGTTTACCGTGTTCACCAACAACACCCACATTGTAGCTGTCAGGACCACCGGCAATGTCTATACCTACGAGGTGGGTTCTTGGGAACCGTGTCGCATGTAGGCTCTTTAGGGGTGTGGCTCAGGGCAACCCTGGGCTGGTGCTGAGGTTGCCCCGGGCACCGTGGGCACAGCCTGTCTCCATGGAGCCTACATTCTGAGAACCACTGGTGCAGTCAAGAAGAGGTGTGCCCTTCCCGTGGCCTCCACACCTGGAACCTGGGGGTTGGTTTTGTACCCCAGGGGTCCACCCTGCAGTCCTTGTCTTCATTGATCAGGCCCTGGGAGAGAACCTGTGCTCTGAGGGCAGGCCCAGGGCTGAGGGGAGCATTGAGCACCCACAGCCCCACCTCCTGCTGGAGTCCCCAGGAGGAGCAGACGCAAGCTGGTGGGCAGGCGTGGGGGGTGGGGAGGCCCCGATTCCCCACCCCCCCAGGCTGCTGCTCCGGGTGGACTGGCAGAGGGTACCACAGCAGTCGCCACGGCACCATGTTGCAGGGAAGCCCTCTCTGAGCTGTTTTCCCATCTGTCCCTGGCTGTGGGCAGGGTCTGGGTGGCCAGTGCTGCCCTAGAGGCTCTGGGGGTCACTGCTGCCCACAGAGCACAGATTTGGCTAGAGGGGCTTGGTAGAGCTGCAAGGCCGGCTCCTTCAGTGAGCCTTGCTGAGATGGCAGATTCTAGTCTCTGCGGCTCAGCTGGCTCCACCCTCGGTGGTGGTGGGGTACACGGTCATGCCATCCTTTCCCTCCCCGCTGGAATGGCATTGGCACCTGGGTGAGCTCCTGGCTCCCAGGGCCAGGGTTGGGGCAGGCACCCTAACAGCGGACTTCCTCCTGGCTGCAGGCAGTGGAACAGTTAAATATCAAGGCCAAGAACTTCCGAGACCTGCTGACGGACGAGCCCTTCTCTCGGCAGGACATCATCACCCTTCAGGTGGGCATCCCCTTGCCACTGCTCTTCTGAGGGTGGACCGAGATGCTCTATGCCAACCCCACCTCCCCGCACAGGCTCTGGGCATGCCTGGTTGTGGTTTCCCAGCTGCCCCCCACTGCTGGCAGTGCCCCCAGCTCCAGCACCCCTGCTCTCTATCCGCCTGGCCCTTTGCACGGCCGCTTCTCTCTGGCTCTCACATCTCTCCTTCCGATGCCTGTCCTTGCTGTGCCAGGGTAGCTCATCTCTGCCCCCAAAGCGTTCTCCATATCCAGGTGGGAGAGGACGGGCTGGTATGTGTCCTACTCCAGTGTTGAGCAGAGGATGCGCCTCTAGGTGTCAGCCCTGAGTGGGCTCCTGAAAGACCTGGACTTAGAAACTCTGGGGGTGGCCTCATGGGCCATTCCCATCCTTGACTTATCCATCCTCATCAGAGGTCCGTGCACGCTCCCTCCCACGGGGTGGGCCCGAGGTGCTGCAGGCTCTGTGTCTGGCAGCTGGGCTGAAGGAGCGGTGAGGGTGTGTGTGTGGGAGGCCTAAGTTAGCTGCCTCATGTCTGCCCTCACCCCCTAGATGAATGTCCATCCATGCTCATCGGCCGTATGCCGGGGAGAACGGGGCACAGTGTGCCAGTGTCTGTCCACCCCCTGCCCACCCCTGCTCTTGGCCCTGTTCTGGCAGAGCCCACTCCCGACCGCGGGCGCCCTCCATTCCCTGCTTGACACCCCACATCTCCATGGTGCCCCGCCTCTCTCTTTCCGGGCTGTGCCCCTGGGGCCGCCCAGCTGTCCTTTGTTGCCCGGCTCACTCTGCTGCGCGTGTTCTTTTTGCTGCAGGACCCCACCAATTTGGACAAATTCAACGTCTCCGATTTCTTTCATGTGAAGAATAACATGAAGATGACAGATCCTGGTAAGCACAGCTGGCTTCAGTGCCAGGGGTTTGGGTGAAGTAGGTCCGTGCCTTCTAGGTAAAGCCCTCACCTTGCTGGGGGCAGGAGCGTCCAGGAGTCTTTCTTGAGCCCAGACTGGCCGATGCTTCCTTCTGTGCTGACGTTGGCACGACCGCACTCACCCACACCCGCTCACGCGGGGCATGATGTGGGGAGTCCCAGCTGGGGCCCATATGCTTGGTGTCCACTGCCACATATGGTGGAGGCCTGGGCCCCACCTCCTCCCCACTCAGGACTCTGCCTCAGGCCCCCTGAGGCCATGTCCTCTCCCAAGTCCTCCCCTTGCTCCTTAGAAATTGTCTCTGTTCCCACTGCAGGGACAGGTCATGAGTGCAGGCTACTGGGTCCCTCTGGCATGGAGGCAGGTCCTGGGAGGGTAAGGGGTGACTGTGGCCAGGGCGTGGCTAGGGACAGAGTCCAGAGTAGACCACAGTGGAAACTGCCTATGGACGGGCTATCTTGCCACCCTTACGAGCTGTTGCCTCGCACTCTTCCCCGCCCCGCTCCCCTGCGTCGTGGCCCCCAGGAGTCACTGTGTGGGGGCTCGGCTTACTTGCCTGCATCCTGTTCCAGGCTTCTGCTGTTGCAGCTGGCTCTGGCCTCTTGTCCCTGTCGCGCCTGTCTGGGGACATCACTGGGGGGTCGTCTGAGCAGGGTCACTGTGCTGTTTTGTAGATGAAGAAAAGGCCAAACAGGACCCATCTTATTATTTGAAAAATACGAACGCCGAGACCCGTGAGACGCTGCAGGAGCTCTACAAGGAGTTCAAAGGGGACGAGGTCCTGGCAGCCACCATGAAGGTCCCCGAGAAGAAGAAAGTGGACAAGCTGAACGCCGTGAGTAAGCGGAGGGCTACATAGCCGCCAGTGCAGCCGGCCTGCCCATCTCAGCCCCTCAGAGAGGTCCTGGGGGACGGGGCTCATGGGGGCCCTGCGATACCTTTGGAGGGTGGTGGCCGGGACCCCTCAGAGCCCAGCTGCCCCTTGGGGGCCCAGAGGCGGCCTGCACTGAGGCTGGGCCTCAGGAGGCTGGGGGTGGCTGGTGCATATGCTGGGGGCCCACGGGGTTTGTGTCTCACGCTGGCCCAAGCTCGGCAGCCTGGAGCAGATAGTCTGGGTGGACCTCTGCCTGATTACCATGTGACGCTGCAGCCTCAGGACAGCAGGGAAGGGACAGCCCCTGGGATGCAGTCACTGCCCTGCGGAGCAGATCACTTGTTGCCCAGAGGAAGCCCAGGGAGAGACTGTAGGGGTGTTTCAGGGGACCGTGGTGCTGAGGGGAGGGGACAGCTGGTGCCCGCCGCCTGGGCCTCTGCCTGGGTTTCACGTTTGCTTTTTATGACACCCACTTTTGGCTCCAAGGCCCCCAGTTGGCAGTGATGGTGACGGGATTTGTGCCCTGGCCCGTCAGGCCCCAAAGCTGCTCGTTTCCCCGTTCAGGCGGGGCTCCAGGGGGCAGGGGAAGGAGGGCTCTGAGGCTCCCTCAGAGAATTATCCTGGAAAACTCACAAGAGAGAAGGAAGTTTGTTGTTCACAATCCCATCCCTCTAAAACAACAGTGCTTAGCATTTTGGTGTATTTCGTTCTGACGGGGAGAAATGTCTTTTTTTTTTCTCTTCTCTGTCTCTGATAAAAATGTTTTTAACGTATTGGGGCTTACTTTTCCCTGATTGAAAAAGCAGTATGTTTACTCTAGGAAATTGAGACCTTTGAAAAGGAACTAGCATCCCTCGTACTGTGAACCCAGCAGTGACTGGTTCCTAGTTCTGTCCAGGGTCTCAGTTACCATGAGAGCCTTGGCCACCTGGGTCTCAGCCTCCTGACCGGTCAGGGCCCTCTGTCGCACATGCCCCTGGTCAGTCCCCGCACTCCCTGAGCCCTTAGAGAAAGAGCCAGGCCCCCCAGAAGTCCCTGCTGGGCTCTGTGGGAGGCCGCCAGGGACAGCTTCTTGGAGGAAGGGCACTGAGGGGGCCCCGAGAGATGGGATCCTGGCCTTCCAGCTTCCCGGGACGCTGCTCATGGGCCACCTGGTTTTCTCTGCAGGCGCACTATTCCACCGGGAAGGTCAGCGCCTCCTTTACCTCCACTGCCATGGTTCCGGAGACCACACACGAAGCAGGTAGCTGCCCTTGCCTTTCCGTCCCCAGCAGGCTGCCTCACAGCGGCCAAGGGCGGGCATCCTGCCCCTGCACCCTGTGACGTGCCATCATGCCTGGCCTTCATGGGTGCTTAGGCAGCTCTGGTGTGGTTAGGCTCTGGTGTGGTTAGGCAGTGACAGGACTTTTCTAAAAGTGGAGGTGGGGGGGCGGCAGAGGCTGCAGTGGAGGCCCAGCCAGGGGGGTAGGAGGTCCTCCCTCCACCCCACAGGGGCTGTCCTGTCTTGGGCTCCAGCCTACGTCCCACCTTGGCGCTGGCCCCACACCTCTTCCTCTCGTGTTTTTGGCCTCTCTGGCCCCCACTGTCCCCTTCCTTCCCAATGACATCCCATTCCAGGCTTTTCCAGGCTCCCCCACCTTAACTGCCGAGCCCCACCATGTCCCCCGGCCCCGAGACCCACCCTGTCCTGTGGCTGGGGCGCCGTGAGCCCGTGCTTGGCCAGGGCCAATCCTCGGGCTCCCCCCAGACCTGGTGTGGGTAGGGGTTGTTGCCCCAGCCGGAGGGCAGCACGGACCCAGGGCCTCGGTTTGCAGCCGCCATTGATGAGGATGTGCTGCGCTACCAGTTTGTGAAGAAGAAGGGCTACGTGCGCCTGCACACCAACAAGGGCGACCTCAATCTGGAGCTGCACTGCGACATGGTGCGTGTGGCTGTCCCCGCCAGGGTCCGCATGCCTGCCCAGCTTTTCAGTCCGTAGTCACGCCTGTATGCGCTTGTGGGAGATCAAATGTTCCACCTGCCCCCTAGAAGGCCCAGTGCCCGCACTCCCCTCCCCAGAAGGGACCCTGGGAGCCGCGCATGGTGCTTCCTGGGCCCGTGTTCTGGCTGGGGCATGCGTACCCATCCCACAAAAGGGGTCAGGCTCCATGCGTGCACACCCCCCCTGCCCCCCCACTTGCTCAGGTGTCTCTCGGTGGCCCTCACTCAGGGTCATGGCAGGTGCATGTGTCCTGTCATTCAGCCTCACGGTGCTGCTTTACCGGGTCTGGCCTGGGCAGCTGACCGGCCCCCCTGCCTGATATGGGCCCTGGGTGGTGCTTGCGATCCTCCCACGGGCTGCTCCTCACCTCACGGAGGCATCTGGGCTATTGTGTAGACGCCGAAGACCTGTGAAAACTTCATCAAGCTCTGCAAGAAGCAGTACTATGACGGCACCATCTTCCACAGGTCCATCCGGAACTTTGTGGTGAGTGACGGGGGTCCACGCTAGCCACAGACCTGCGCCCCCGTGAGGGCCGTAGGGCTCCTGGCCAGGGCGAGGGCTACGGGGACTGCTGAGAGTCGTACCTGTGAGCCCCTTCTCCCCGGGCGGGGAGTGTGCAGACTGACCCCTGTGAGTCCCCAGCCTGGCTGTGCTGGGCTCATGCAGAGAGCTGGCCCGGGAGGGCTGTGTCCTCACCAGGCGCTCAGCCGCCCTCAGGCCTGCCAGGCAGGTGGGGAGCTAGCGGAGGGCTGGGTGGGGCAGAGCTTGCTGACTGGCCTTGCTTCCTCTCACAGATCCAGGGCGGTGACCCCACCGGCACAGGCACAGGTAGGTACCGGTGCGCGGGCTTCCCCGGCAGCTCTGGCTGCTCTGTAGGCCTTGTGGTGGGGTGGGGAGGGTAGTTGGGTGGGGGTTGTGCCACCGAGAGTTCCAGATGTGGAATCTGATAGGACAGCCACTAGCCAGCCTGAGGGGCGACTTTTTTTTTTTTTTTTTTTTTTTTTTTTGAGATGGTTGCACGGCCTGGATGGGCTGGAGAGGCCATGCGGTGCCTCTTGGCTGCTCTGGAGCCCCCTTTGGGTCCATAGGCTCCAAGGGCCCAGGCAGTGTCCTCACCCAGTGTGGTGTGAGTGGGCATGACCTGTGCTCTCACCCTGTCCTCCTTGTCCTAGGGGTCCAGCCCCATGCAGGAATCTGAGGGGCCTGGGGGCTGGAGGTGGGGGGGCGTCCGTGGGGAGATGGTGATGAGGTTCCCTCGGAGCAGGGCTGCCCCCTGGAGTACTCGGCAGGGCCCCAAGGGACTCAGCGCACACCTGTGGAGCTGGGCTGCGTCCACTGGCCACACTTGGCCGGGACCCAGGCATTGCTGCTGCTAGCCTTGCCGCTTCCTCCTGCAGGTGGGGAGTCGTACTGGGGAAAGCCCTTCAAAGACGAGTTCCGGCCCAACCTTTCGCACACGGGCCGGGGCATCCTCAGCATGGCCAACTCAGGGCCCAACGCCAACAAGTCTCAGTTGTGAGTCAGTGGGCACCTGTGGGTGGGTCCTCCCTCTCAGCTTTGCCCTCCAGGGCGTGCTCCACCCGAATCCTGCCCAGAAAGTGGGCAGCACCCTTGGGGAGAGGACCCCCATCCCCCCAACCCCACCTCCGTGTGTGTGCATGCGCCCATGAAGGAATAAGCCTGGGTGGTTGCTCAGAGGCCCAGGGAGGCTGTGGGAGGCGGCAGATGCTGGCTCCGGCCACAGAGAGGGGGTGGCCCAGGACATGGAGTGCTGGAAGTCTGGGCCTGGGTGGCCCTGTGTCCTGATGGAAAGGCAGGAGGTGAGGGCTCCATAGGAGTGAGTGTGGGGAGGGGAGCGGCCAGACCCAGCCTGGGAGGGGCAGGAGTGGAGGCAGGACAGTTTTCCAGAGGAGCCTCACGCCATGGAGCAGGCAGGACAGGGGAGATCCGTCTGTGCAACATGGGGCCCGGTGACCGGTGATGGTGGCATCGGTGGTGGGCGGGGGGGGCCCTTCCTGCACACTTGATGGGATTCCCCTGCAGCACTGTCCCGTTGGGTGGAATGGGGGTGCCCAGCCAACCAGAGTTTCTCTCTTTTTTTTTTTTTTAAAGATTTTATTTATTTATTTGACAGACAGATATCACAAGTACGCAGAGAGGCAGGCAGAGAGAGAGGAGGAAGCAGGCTCTCTGCCGAGCAGAGAGCCCGATGCGGGGCTTGATCCCAGGACTCCGGGATCATGACCTGAGCCGAAGGCAGAGGCTTTAACCCACTGAGCTACCCAGGCACCCCAACCAGAGTTTCTCTTGATCTGTCTGTCCTTCGCTCTCTGGGAGCTGTAGTTCACCTGAGTTCCATTATTTCTGATTTTTAAAACTTCTTTGGTTTCTGCTTGTGGTCAACTCTTTCCTCTTTGCTCACTTTTTTTGAGGAGGTTTGTATTTTTCTTCAGAGCTTTTTAGATTAGGCATCTGTTTTCCAGATACTTTTTCCAGGTATTCCCAGTTGGAAGAATCATCCATAGTATTTTAAAATATACGGTATATATTCTGAGCCACCCAGGTGCCCCTTATTTGGTATTTTATTTTTTATTTTTTTAAATTTTATTTTTTTTTTCCTTATTTGGTATTTTAAAATCAGAATTCTTTTCCAGTTCAGTTGCTCATATAAAATCTATTTTTGGGGGCACCTGGGTGGCTCAGTAGGTTAAGCATCTGTGTTAGCACAGGTCATGATCCAGGGTCCTGGGATGGAGTTCTGTGTCAGGCTGCCTACTCAGCGGGGAGCCTGCTTCTCCCTCTCCCTGCCTCTCCCTTGCGTGTGTGCCTGCACACTCTCTCTCAAACAGATAAAATCTTTTTATTTTTATTTTTTTTTAAGATTTTATTTATTTATTTGACAGAGATCACAAGTAGGCAGAGAGACAGGCAGAGAGAGAGGGGGAAGCAGGCTCCCTGCTGAGCAGAGAGCCCAATGTGGGGCTTGATCCCAGGACCCTGGGATCATGACCTGAGTCGAAGGCAGAGGCTTTAACCTACTGAGCCACCCAGGCGCCCCCAGATAAAATCTTTTTAAAAAAAAGTTGATTTTATATCTAACTACTTTATTTGAATAGTTTAGTAAGAGTGTCCTGGGTTGGGGCACCTGGGTGGCTCAGTCAGTTAAGTGCCTGCCTTTGCCTCAGGTCGTGATCCTAGGGTCCTGGGATCAAATCCCACATAGGGCTCCCTCCTCATCGGGGAACCTGCTTCTCCTGACTGTTTCTGTCCCTGCTTGTGTGCACTCGCTCATTCTCTCTCTCTGACAAATAAATAAAATATTAAAAAAAAAAAAAAAGCGTCCTGGGTTTCCTAGATATTCAGCGTTTATCAGCTCAAGGTGTTGTTGCTCTTCCTGCGGGAACACTAGTTCCCTCACGGTCGGGCCTGTAAGGAGAGCACGTGGGCGTCCCGTTCTCAGGTTCCATGCTGTTTTGCCTTCTGATCAAATTTGTTGCCGTCCCGACTCTTGGGGAGAGGCTGTGTTTCCAGAGGCTTTTCTCTTAGCATCTGTTACTACGATCAGACCGTTTCCTTTTCCTTCTGGAATCTGCGAACAGAAGCGCTGGGTTGACCAGCTTGGCTTATCACTGTTTTGTCCTGGAGGGCAGCTGGGCTGGTCAGGCCTGAGGCCCAGCGTGAACCGCCTGGGGTGGTTTAGCTCACGTCCGGTCTGCTTGGTGAGGTAAAATGCCAGGGACAGCTTTTGCGGATCCTTCACGCTGACTCCTCAGTTCGGGTTCCACTTTGAGGGCCATCTGGGTCGCTGCTGTTGTGCCAGAATGGAACTGATCCGTCTCTAGATTTCCAGACTTCTGCGGCATCTCCCTTCCTGTCCGTCACTGTGTCCGCATTCCCGCTCTCCTTAATGGTTTACGGAAGGCTTTCCTGTTTTTATTTTATGCGATTTTCTTCTGTTTCCATCTTCGCTGGCTTCCTCCTGTTTCTCTCCTCTCCCAAGCCCCCATCTTGCTCGCCGCCGCCGCAGACGTCCGAGGCTGTGCATGCTGACGGCTCGTGCTTCCACTTCACTGTCTTCTCAGGTCATAGAACGAATTGTAGACTTGGCTTCCTTTCTGGTATATCTTTGTTTGCTCTGTCATTGCTTTTCTTTCCTCCTTTTTCCTTCAGGACTATTTCATTCCCTTTTAAGCTTCCTGACCTGTCTTAGCAACGCATGGCCAAGAGACCCACTTGATGGTCAGAGCTCAGGTCTGCACAGTTGTGGCTGTTGAGGTCTGTGGAGACTTGCCTGCCGGCCGCATCTGGTCAGGCCTGGTCGGCTCTGAAGGGGTGTTGACCCTGGTGGGATGGGCTTCGGCCTCCGTCCCTTGCTTGACTGCGCGTGCCGCGGGCTGTCGGGGATGTGGGTGACATGGTGTCCCAGGAGGGCTCTCTGGCCCAAACTGCTCCTCCAGAGACCCTGCCCCAGAAGGCTTCTCTCTCCATCTCTTCTTGGGCCTCTTCTTCCAGATTCTTGAGGTTTTAGGGGTGTCTTTTTAATGGCACACACCTAGATTTGGGGTTATTTTAATTCAAACTGACAGTCGTAGGTGTGTACTTAACTTTCCAGTCAGTATCTGTATTTTCTATTATCTTAATTTGTACTTCCTGGTTACCCTCCCCTTTTTTTTTTTAAAGATTTTATTTATTTGACAGAGACAGAGACAGCGAGAGAGGGAGCATAAGCAGGGGCAGAGAGAGAGGGAGAAGCAGGCTTCCTGCTGAGCAGGGAGCCGGATGTGGGGCTTGATCCCATGACCTTGGGATCATGACCTGAGCTAAAGGCAGATGCTTAACTGACTGAGCGAGCCACCCAGGCATGCGTGGTTTCCCCTTTTTTTAAATATTTTTCATTTCTTCCTTTTCTCTTTCACCTGATTTGGAAGTTATGTGTCACTTTTGGCTTTAAGTAGATTTATTTAAAGTCTGCAGTTACCACTTAATCTCTCTTCCTCCCTCGCAGACAAACCCTGCCTGTGCCATCCCCTCAGCCCAGCCAGCTCACATGTTCGTATAGTTGGATATTTAAATTTCACTCATTTTTACACCAAATTAGATTTGAAAATTTACTAGGTCAGCATTTATGGGTGTTAACCCACATTCCTCAGGGTCTCCTCTCTTCCAGTTCAGAGTCCCTGCATCTTCACGTGCTGTCACAGTGGGATGGTCTCTGGTGTCCAGTCTCCCTTTCCACCCCCCTCGGACCCCCCCCAGCAGCCTCTGCCTGCAGGCTCTGGCAGCGTCTGTCCGCCAGAAGTTGGCTGCAGCCCGATCTGGTGGCAGAGCCTCCCCTGGCCTTTCCCAGGCCTTCTCCTGGGGAACTGGGGTTCCGGTCCCCTCAGTGGCCTTGGCTGACGGCCTGCCCCAACCAGGCATATATGTGGGGTCCATGCGTACAAGTGAAGCACCAGCTTCCCAGAGCTGCTTTTGGGGGACGGGGATGCCTAGTGGGTGCCCAGAAGCCTTGGGGACCAAGCAGGCTGGGTGGGGAAGCTCACAGGCTCTTCCTAATTTCCCCTCCTCCTCACCCAGCTTTATCACCTTTCGATCCTGTGCGTACCTGGACAAGAAGCACACCATCTTCGGGCGGTAAGAGGTTGGGGGTGCTGATGTGGGTGGGCTCCTTTCTCAGTGGGACCCTCTCACTGCCTTTCCCCATGCCCGGCCCAGTGCTCATTTGGTCTCGCGACCATCACTGCTGAGGTCACAGCCACGCAGAAGTGGGGACTCGGGCCTTTTCTGTTAGCCAGGGGATGGCTGGCTCTGCGGACCTGCCGGCTGAGGGGAGGGCCACTCCGGCCCCTTCTGGCCAGCTGCCCTATCCAGACTTGCACCCGACTCTGTTCCCCTCCCCAGGTCACGCCCCCATCCATGCGGCCCTTCTCATGGCCATCCTCTGCTCCTCTTCTTGCCATGCTTTTGGGGGTATCCTGCCCTGGAGCACATTCAGAGGTACCCCTGTTCCTTGGCTGCAGGGTTGTTGGGGGCTTTGACACGCTGACAGCCATGGAGAACGTGGAGAGTGACCCCAAAACCGACCGCCCTAAGGTACATGCCAAGGGAGACTGGGGGAACTGCTGCTCAGGATGGGCACGGGGCAGGCGGGTTTGGAGGGGCCTGTGGCCTCCCACCGCCCGCTCACTTGTCTCCCTCTGCTGCTAGGAGGAGATCCGCATCGACTCCACCACCGTGTTTGTGGACCCCTACGAGGAGGCCGATGCTCAGGTGAGGAGGCCACCGGGCCGGTGGGGGGCTGCAGGAACTCCACCCAGCCTTCGGGGCTCCGAGCCAGCTGTTGCCCTGCTCCGTCCCAGATTGCTGAGGAACGGAAGAAGACGCAGCTCGAGGAGGCGGCCCCAGAAAGCGCTATAAAAACTCAACAGCCCAAGGCGGGGAGCCAAGGCCCCCAGACGTACCGCCAGGGGGTGGGCAAGTACATCAACCCAGCAGCCACGTGAGTGCAGTGAGGGTGCTCGTCCCGTTTGCGGGGTGCTCGCCTAGCTTCCCAGCGCCCACGGTTAGAGCCCATCCATGGCGAGAGAACCGGACACTGGCAGGGAGCAGGTGCCATGGGGGCCGCTGTGCAGGTGCAGGCCGGAGCTCAAGGACTCGGGGTTGGGGGGCGGATATGTGACTGTGCGACCTCACACTGAGCAGGCGCTGTGGGTGTGCGTGGGCTCCCAGCGCAGGGGACTCGTCTACACGCAGCAGCTCAAGCACTTCTCCTCTTCCCAGGAAACGGGCAGCAGAGGAAGAGCCCTCAACCAGCACAGCTGGCCCTGCGGCCAAGACCAAGCCCAGCCGCGGCTTCGGGGACTTCAGCTCCTGGTAGCAGCGGGCCTGCCCCTCTGGAGCCCTAGAAGGACTCAGGGCTTGGGGGCCTGTATCCACGCCGCGGAGTTCTCCGCCTTTCTGACTAGAGCTCGCTAAAGCTCTTGCTTGTTGTAGGAGTCCCCTTGCTTGGCCCCGGGGTCCACGGCCTTCCCCGCCTTCACTCGCTTCGGTGGCGCGACCCTCTTCCCAGGCCGGGGCCAGGCCCGAATGAGATCTCAGACCACCAGGCGTGGGCTGTGGCCCTTAGGCCCACCTGCAGGGTGTGCCTGGGTGGGGGAGGAAGGCAGAGACTCTGCCTCTGCCTTCCTCCCCAGCCCCATTTTTGTCGTCTCCCTTGGGCACTGTTTGCTCAGCGTTAGCACCTGGCACCGCGTTAGAAACACAGGCTTGCAGAGCCCGACCTCCTCACCCGAGGCCACGGGGAGGACAGTCCCTGGGACAGACTGGGGAGCTCCTATTGCCTGTGGCTTGAGGACCCTTGACCAGAGCCTTGACCCGAGTTCCTAAAATCTCTCCTGCTGCCTTTTGCCTGGACTCGCTGAAGCCTGCCCGCGCCCCCGCCCCCCGCAAGGACTCTGGGCGGTCATAGCCATGTTCCCCCGTGGGCCTACTCTGGCCCCCCTGCCTCAGGATGGTAAGAAGAGCCCATGGGAGCAGCTGCCCCCGCCCCCGCCCTTAGGGCCTGACTTCGGGCTCAAACATTTGACCCTTCACCCCAGCACTAGGGCTTTCAGACCAGCCTCACCAGTGTTTCTGGATTTAAAAATCCCTTTCCTTTATTTTTCTATAAATGTCAAAAAAAACTTAACATTTGCTGGTCTGCCCTTTGTTTTCTGTTTCTTCTGTAGCCTGTGCCCATGTGGCTTCCCTGCTCCTGACCTTGACGACACTACCTCAGCTTTCCCAGATGCCTCTGCAGAAGCGCGGGACAGCTGTACACCCCTCGCCACCCACTCCTGAGGCCCGTCCTCATGTTGGCATGGGCCGCGACCCCCTCCAGCTTGTCACGTTGCAGACCTCACTTACGCTCTGTCCTTGGTTGTTCTTTCCCTCACCCAAACCTCAGGTCCGTCAGTGTCAACAGCAGCTTCCGAATGTACCTGGGAGTCCCCCCCCCTTTTTTTTAAGATTTTATTTGACAGAGATCACAAGAAGGCAGAGCGGCAGAGAGAGGGGGGGATGCAGGCTCCCTGCTGAGCAGAGAGCCTGATGTGGGGCTCGATCCCAGGACCCTGATACCACAACCTGAGCCAAAGACAGAGGCTTAACCCACTGAGTCACCCAGGCACCCCAGGGCTCCCCTCTTTCCACTTCTGATACTGAACCCCAGACCCAAGCCTGCCTCTGTTTAAGCCCCTTGCACATATCCTCCAGGTGCCATCTGGGCCCCCTTCCCAGAGCTTGTCTGGCCATTGTCCTTGTTTCACACCAGTCACTGGCTTTCCTGTGTGTGGAGAACAAGGTCTGTGCTTCCCACACACCCTGTCCCTCCACAGTCCTCTGCCTGTGACTGTAGCCAGGGACCCGGGGTTCTAGAGAGCACCCGCTCAGCCCTCTGCACCTGGGGCCAGGCCCTTGTCACCCTTCTCCCTGACCTCCCCACCATCCCTCCCAGCTACACCAAAACATCAGGGAGCTGGTGTTTGTGCCCAGAATGCCTCCAGGAACCTGGTCTGCCCAGGAGAGGGCTGCGTCAGGGACAGCCGTGTGAACACACTCGCAGACCTCTGAATAGCTCTTGGTGACTCAGGGTGCAGGTGGGTGGGTGCAGAGGCGGCCCTGGAGAGGGAAGGTTCCAGAGGGCCCCCGGGCTCCTCAGCCTTCTGAGTTTGGGGGCAGGGGGAGCTCAGGTGAAGCTTTCTTGGGCTGCATGTACCCACTCCAGACTTGCCTGGTGGGGAGCCTGGTGGCACCCTGCTCTAGGACACGGCAGGCTGCACGCCACCACACAGGACCGGAGCAGCCACAGGAGGAGCTCGGAGATGCAAAGCTCCCAGCGGGAACCTAGGGCCCCTCAGCATTGGGGCAGGGCGCCTGAGACAGGAGGTGCTACCGGAAAGGACACAGCTGACAGTGGAAGCTTTATTTTTCAACCTCACACAGACACAGAGGACAGAAGGCTGGACACAGAGGCTGAAGGAGGCTTGTGCACGTGAGCTTGGCAGTCCTGCTCCAAGGGGCAAACCTTCCGGCTGTTGTCCATCTGTCCGTCCTTCCAGCTGTACCCAGTGACCACACCCACCTGGCCCAAAGCATGGCCAGCCCACCCTAGGCGCAGACCCACCCAAAAGCCTTTGACAAAGGAGGGTTTACATTTCTGTAGGTCGTTTTGGAACTTTTAAATTAGTTTTCTAAATATTAAAACCGCTTGGATTTTGTAAGTACCTGGTGAGGTCCTCAGGTAAATTAAAAGGGCTTTTGGAAAAATTCCCATGTCTGATCTCGCCTAATATCTGACAGATGCCATCAAGAATAAGCATTAAGGTACAAAAATACTATATATATGTATATATAAAATAGCAACGAAATGAAACCACACTGTTAAAGCAGACGCGCCATGCCAGAGAATGCAACATGGTTGAAGTTCAACGCATTTCTGGTCCTGGCATCATCTCCCATTCTTTAAGGAAACAAATACTTTAAATAATTTAAATAAAAGTCGCAGGATGGTATTTAGTGTCTCGGAATTTAAGAGGGTGGAACATTCCCACACTTCGCCAGCACGTCTGGTTGTGTGTGGTCTCCTGAATGTCCTTCCCCTGAAGCCAGCTCACGGTCTGTTCATTTGGTAAGGAGCTTGGATTTTTCAGAAGACCAACAAATAAAAGTGGTAAAGAGTTTTTCGTTGGTATCAATTACCAAAAAAAAAAAAAAAGCCTAAGACCACTAGTAAAAATGTTTCAATGCCATCACAAAAGACAATACAAAAACCAAAGTGCTCAAATCCAAGGAGCAGTAAACTTGCCCAGAACATATAAAAGCTTTAAATATAGGTTTAGTATATACAAAACTTGGTCAGAGGAATTTGAGAAGATTCTTCAGTTTAAACGAAGAGCTTGTGGGGAAACACTCAGGAGCCTGGCCCTCGGTGCCCCAAGGACCACCCCCACCCCCAGCCCTCATCCTCTCGCGGCCTCGGACGCAGCATGGAGGCTTGCAGAGGAACCAAGGCAAGGAGAGAAATGTTAGTTTAGGCCAAGTTTTCAATGAGGAGCACTCACTCCTCAAATTAAAGGGCCTTGCCGTCCCTTCAAAGTGGCCACTGAGGACCGAAGCCGCAGATGTCCACGCTGCCTGTGCCAGCTCGAGGGTGAAGCATCTTCGGGTTTCAGAGCCTGGCAGCAGGTGCGCACGCGTGCGGGCCTGGGCCCCGGGGCGCCTGAAGGCTGTACAGCTGAACGTGAACTTATACACATGGGGACTGTGCTGGGACAACCTAAACCTGCGGGGGACGCCAGCTCGGGGAAGCAGCAGCCTGCTGGAGTACCTGCGCGCGCAGAAGCCCACACAGCTGTACAAAGACCTGCCCTTGACGCTGGGATATGCGCGGACATTAACCGGGGCGCCCGTCCCCTCACCCAGAGTGGGGCGCTGCATCTCCCCACGTTCTAAGGCTTCGCTCTTAGCCAGAGAGACGGTTCCAAAAGGGAAGCTCTGGGGGAGCAGCTACGCCAGAACCAGTCAGGGGAGCCCAGTGCCAGGTCATGGGCTCTGGGCTCCGGGGAGGGCAGGGACCTCCCATAGGACTGGAAAGCCATTCTCTCGCCCTTCCTGGCCAGCTCACACTCGCCCCTGGGCTGACCTTTGCTGAAGTGGTTTCAGAGCCACTGGCCGGGCTGAGAAACGTCTGGGTTCGCTGCCCTTCTCCCTGCCTCGCTAGGCCCTTTTCCTGCCCCTCGGCAGTGGGGTCTCAGGAGTTTCATGCCATGCTACACCCAAAGCCCTGCCAGACTCCTGGAACAGCAGGCCGGGCCAGGCAGCTGGAGTCAGGTCAGAAACTTGAAAACCAAAACCGATTTGGAAATGGTTTTTGGCCTTCATTCTCTGAAAACTGGCCAGTACCCTGCGTAGTGCCGTCTCCCTGCGGAGGCACTGGTGGATCGGAACTTAAAATACATTGCTGAGACACAAGGCATAGACGACCATCCAGGTCCCTTCTGTGTCAGCTCAAGGGGCAGAGCCAGTGGGGCACGGGAGACCCATATTCATTTACAAAGTTTAAATCTATTTTGAAACTTTAACCTTTCCTAAAAAAATTTTAAAATGATCTCCCAAATCTCAAGTTTGGAAGTTCATCCTGCTAGTTCTGGCCTCTTCCATATGCAAAAGTATTTCTTTTTCTTCAAGTACATCAGAAAAGAAAAGGAAATCCGATCTGATTCCGTCCAGTGAGTTCACCCCTCACTGCGCGGACACTCTGTCAGCGACTGACACAGAAGTTCCACTTCCAGAGCCCTGCCGGACTGCGGCCTCCGCACATGCGCGCCTGCAGCCCCTTGGAACAGCCTTTGCTAATGCTTGCTTTCTAGATAAAGAAGCGTTGGCTTAAATAAACAAGATGTCCCATTAGACAGATTTCTCTATTTATAGCTTGTCTAAAATGTAATCAGTGGTATCTTCTAGTTCTGAACAAGCCTTCAAAAAAAAAAAAAAAAAAAAAAAGGCCCCTTGGTGTACAGATTTGTTGACTGTTTCTGGAAGATTCCTAAATGAGCACTATGCCTTAACAGCTCATCTGCAAGAGGAATAACTCATCTGTAGTTTCAGGAATTAGGAGAAAAAGTGGCCTACAGTATCCTTACTCAAAAAGAGCGGCGTGAACTTGCTCTCTGAAAAGCGCCCTAACCCTGTGGTCCGCAGAAATTTTTGTTTTTTTGTTTTTGTTTTTTATCAAACATGAAAGAGCAAAGTCAAACTCTATCATAAAGGCATAGCTTAAAAAAGGTATTAACTAGACAGATAAGTCATCAATTGGTTAATTCTGTCTCTAGAACTTGAGAAGTTGGGAAAAAGGTCACTGAAACATTTCAGAAACAGCCATGTACGTGAACAGGACAGAGGCTGGAGGGACACCTTACCACCGGAACGGCCGGGAAAGGCCCGCCCGCCGCAAGGTTCAAGTTCAAGAAATACGGCCATCCAGGGTGCTCCTATGTCTCCGTTACACTTACAGTCTCTTCCACAAACTAGTATTCAGAAGAGAACGAAGTTTTCACTTTACTCCCAACCATTGTCTTTGATCATGTGGGCAAGCTCAATAATAAATTTTCCTTCCTTATATTTCTGACTGCTTTCAAAGGCATGTTCCTTGAAAAAAAAAAAAAAAGTAGAAAGAAGGTTTCAGGACAGAATAGACTTCACTTTTCAACTTCATTACACTCTTGGCAAAGAAAATAAGCATATGGGGTCAAATCTCCCCAGGTGTCCCTTGTTCCGCAGACCAGGGCCAGGGGAGGGGTCTGTCTTGGTGACAAGCCTGGGCAGGGAAGGGCAGCCCACCTCTACTTGTCCTTAACCTTACAGATCCATTTCACAGGGAAAGGGTAATTCAAGTTTGTCCCTGAGCATCTGCCATGCGTAAGACAATCCGGGAGGGAGGAAGGGGAGCGAGGGCCTGCTTGCAGGGACTGCAGGTAAAAGGCCAGTGGAGGCCACTATAGCCAGCACCGGGGGGTCATTTAAGATGCTGGAGTGAGAGAGAAGGCCCTTGGCTGGGCAGTGAAGGTAGAAATGGAATGGGGCTTGGCAGGGTGTATGTGTGGGCACATGCAGGCCTCTCGGAGCCCATCTCCACACCGGGGACTGCGTCTCCTCATGTGTGTCGAGGAATGTGGAGGACAGGAAGTCAGGAATCCAGAAAGAGGAAGCACAGGCAGCCCTGACCAAGATGGCCAGAATGAATGTAGCGGACAACAGGCAGGCACCAGCCACACCCAGACGCACCTCTCAGGTGCCACAGCTGGTGGTGGTCGGGGGCACAGGAGACAGACTTGGGAGCCAACAGGAGGGGTGGGGAACAACGGGATCAGGGAGCGGGGGGCAGAAGCTGCCTATGGGCCAAGCCCCAGGTGGGCCAGTGAGGCCAGGCCTTGCTGGGGGCCGCCCCAGCCACCAGGGAGTGTCTCCTACATGGGTGGGCCACTCCCCTCCTGCCAGAGGACCCTCGGAGGGCAGGGCCTCATGCCCGCCAGCCAGCATGGCTGTTACCCACGTCCCACCTCCGGGAGTCAGGGGAGCGCGGGTACAACCATGTGAGGACCTCCACCTTCAATTGGCTAGAAAGACATGCTACAACGAGAACACGGGACACTTCAGGCAGGAGGTCTTACTCCTTTGCAAATTTTGCTCCTGACTGTAACGCGTGTTCCGGTACCGCGGTGAGTCGGCGCAGGCTCCGCGGGCCCGGAGTGCACGGGTACTCACATATTTCCACCCGAGCGTGGTTTTGCAGTTTTCACAGTAGATGTCTGCGACCGCGTGCAGCCCAGTGAGAAGGACCCTCTCCTCCGCCGGGCCACAGCCCACGTTGACCCTGCAGGGGAACAGGCGGGACCTTGCTGAAGACCAGAGGCCCCGCCCCTGCCCACCACCGCCCTTGGGGGAAGGATCAACTTATTTCTCCAGAATCCCAAGATGGGACGGCTGCGGGGGCCATGACCACCGTCCTGCACAGAACACCGTCAAAAATCAAACCCACCACAAATGGGTCACAGACCATGCCTCATGTGGGAGCTGGGTCTCAGGTAAGAGCACACCCTTCCTGCAAACTCTCACACTAAAGAGAGCAGAATTCCTTAAGCTATCAAAACACTGGGTCATTCTAGGGGCACCTGGGTGGCTCAGTCATGATTCCCGGTTCCTGAGCCTGCTTTTCCCTCCTGCTCTGCCCCTGCCCTCCCCCCGAGGCTCATGCTCTCTCAAATAAATAAGATCTTAAAAACCAAAAACAAAACCGCTGGATCATTCTAGCTCATCAAGGAACTCTGCACAGTCCAGCTTTGCGTAATCACGTGCATGGATGGACAGGAACACTGAATGTAATCGGACCATGGACACAGCCATGTCCACAAGGCCAATGGCAGTAGTACTCACACAGAATTGAAGAGGTAGGCTCGTCCCTGACTTCCCTGAAAAGACTGCAAAGAAGAAAAAAATTTTAACAGATGTACTGCAGTAAGAGGAAAAGTCTGGCATTTAGGGATGAAGGTGGAGAGACTGTTTCAGGTCATGGACTTCAACGTGGGTGGAAGGGCCACCTTGTGGGGCATTTCGAGCAGCGCTCAGGAGGAGCGCTGACCACAGGCCTCCAGGACCCCGGACCCCACACAGGACCCAGAAGTCAAAGCGCTCCTAGAGCCCCAGAGGGGCCGCTCAGTGTCCCAATTCTCTCTGCTGGACTAGCTCCCGTCAGTCAGACAGTAGGGGCGAGGGGACATTCCCATGCTTTGCCATTGAAACTGAAAGCAAAACCACATCCCAAGATGACTCCTTCCTTGGAGGAAGGGACCTTCCGGTGACATCTCCCCCAGGAAAGTGCTTTAAGCCAAGGAACAGCTTGTAGCATACCCACGGAGTCTGGGATGATAATGGAGGCAGGATGGGGTACAGTCGGGTCAGTTCCAGACTTAGCTCCCACACCCTGCACTCTCAGCAACAAAAGGGAATATGAGTTCCCTCGTAGACAGATGGGGGGCTCGTCTGCTTCGGTGCCAGGTCCAAATGACTGAGTGGAACACAGGGACCTCAAAAATAACCAAATGAAGAGAACTTCTTTGAGTGTTTTTTTAGTTTGTTTTTGTTTTGGGTTTTTTTTTTTTTTTTTTTTTTTGCCTACCACCTCAGCACGAATTCAAAAGACTGTGAGGAATGTTGAATGGAGCAGAGGGTGACAGTATCTGTAAAAGTAAGAGGCACATGCTATGTGACCAGCCACTCCACTCCTAAGGATTCACTGTCAAGACAAACCAACCGGAGCACATAGGGAAATGTGTGACAAGATTGGTTACTGGTAAGTATTTGCAATTGCAAAAGCATGGGACACGTGGATAGCCACACAAGTGAGCAAACGAGGGCACTCACATCCAGGACACATGCAGACATTAAGAAGGGGACGGAAGCAGCTGGGCACGAGCGTGTGTGGTGAGAGAGTCACACTGGGAAGTGAAGGAGAGCTAGCCATGACACGCTGTGCCGCGCCTTGTTGTGGGGGCCCTTCAATTAAGGGGAAAACCACAGGGCACCAGAGTGGCTCAGTCAATCAAGTGTCTGCCTTCGGCTCAGGTCACAATCCAGAGGTCCTGGGATCAAGTTGCACATCGGGCTCCCCGCTTGCTGGGAAGCCTGCTTCTCTCTCTCCCTCTGCCCCTTCCCCTACTTGTGCTCTCCCTCTCTCTCACACTCTTGAAAAAATAAAATCTTAAAAGATAAAGGGAAAACCATGATCTTATAGGCCAGAAAGAGACCATTTTTGCCACACAACTAACAGAGACAAGCAGAAGGAATGGAGTCAGGGGTGAGGAGGGGAAAGCAGATCTGTCCCTGCCTCCCGTGCACACAACACCGCACTGTGCTGGTTCGCGCAGTCCCTTGCACGGGCACAGACGGCAGCGGCCCCTGCTGACCGGGGACACACATCCACTGGAGCAATACAGAGACCCTCATGCTAAGCCACTAAGCCCCTGTGGTTTGGGGGCTCTTTGTTACTGCCGCATACCCTGGCCTGAGGCTAGTGGTGTTTTGATCTAAACATACAGCTTTCAGACTTAAAAAGAAAAAGAAAAAGAAAAACGCTTCTTAAGAAGAGTTTTCCTTTCCAGTGGCTTTCCAAAATTAAGAATATTACTTTATGTCCAGTTTAACAAATAATCATGTTATGGGCTTCCCCTCACATCCTTATTAGTCTTCAATTCTGTAGACCGATTTTCCTAATTCTCTTGCCTGCTCTTCAAATTCTCCCCCCGCACCCCTATAAATCCTTATTTAAAAAAAAATTTTTTTTAAGATTATTTATTTATTTATTTGACAGAGATCACTAGTAGGCAGAGAGGCAGGCAGAGAAAGAGGGGGAAGCAGGCTCCCCACTGAGCAGAGAGCCTGATGCGGGGCTCGATCCCAGGACCCTGGGATCATGACCTGAGCTGAAGGCAGATGCTTAACCCTCTGACCCACCAAGGCGCCCCACAAATCCTTATTTTTTAAACAGGGTTAGATCCGTGATGTGGCCAGATCTGTGGCTGGGGGTGAGACAGAAGTCAGACTAGAGCAGGAGGTCTGAAAACTTCCATAAACGAGGGCCAGCTGAGAAATGTTTTCAGCTCTGGGGGCTGCGCGGCCTCTGCGGTAAGGATGCTGGTGCTCTGGCCAGCCCAACAGCAGCCACCAGTGCTGTAGAAACACACAAATGTGGCTGTGGCCCAATAAAACTTCCTGGGAACAGGTGGGGTGCCGGAGGCGGCCCACAGATAAAACCAGAGCCTTCTCATAACGAGACCCGCCTGCATCAAGGAACGGCTCCCTCGGGCCGGGGCATCACTGACTAATGACAAAGATGGCCCTCTTCACAGCTTCCCTCATGGGTATTTTTCTAAAAGATCCAATTTTTCCCATCCCCCCATGATACCCTGTTTTCTTCTTAAGTATTCCGAGTTAACATTTAATTTCCTCATTATTGGACTATTTCCACAGATCTTCTAAACTTCCTTTGCTCCTTCAGTGTTTCTTGGTCTTATGTGAACTCTACTGCTCTGACAAATAACCTACTCATCTTGCTTTCTGTGACTTTTCTGTCCCAGCTGCCTAGCCCTCCAACACCCACCCCCTGTGCCAACACCACGCCCAACGGCACACCAACACCGCAGTCACGCCGAGATAACGAGACAGCAGTCAGTGACACTCAATCACGCACAAAACATTCATCAGTGCTGCCCGGAAGGCCCTAGACTCCTAGGATGCCACCAACCCCAGAAGTCACATGATGGTCAAATGTCCATCTGGTAGGGAGGTACAATCACGGTGACCGGGAGCCCATCGCTCCCTAGACACCAACCACTTGCCTTGGAGATCAGCTCATCGTGGTTGGCCAGGTGGGCTCTGCAGTGGACACAGCTGTAGGTTCGGTGACAGTTTGGCAAATAAGCTTGGAACGTTTTGGATTTTGTCATCTTCACCATCTCGGCTGGGCGCTCCTCGCTCAGCTCAGGGCTGGCACTGGACGGCCGGCGGCTCTGCTGGGCCCTCTGACAGGAAAAACAGCGGAAGATGCACGCAAGGGCCGTCGTCGTTCGGAGGGCGTGTGGCACTGTCCACACAGTTGGGACGAGAGAAAAGCGTCACAACCTGTCAACCAATCATGACAAAGCACAGGGTTATGGAGGGAACGAGAGACTTCGAGGAGGGATGCCTGGGAATTGTGTGTTCCCAGGAACAGGGTGGGGAGAGGCAGACCCAGAAGATCGAATTCTTTACTATTTGTCACGGTTTCATTCTAGGTGCCATTGGAAGTGGCGAGTGAACTACTTTTACATCCAGATCATTTGAGAAAAACATCTGATTTAGTGCATTTTAGGCTGTGTGTGACTTCTGAAAACATAAAGGAAAAAGCAGCCAACAAGCCTCCCATCCGAGTGAGGCCAGCAGCAGGACAGCACACATCTTGTCCCAAATCCTGGAATTAATGACTCAAAGCACTGTGACATTTATGAATACGCAGGAGGGATCCAGTTTAATTAATCGTGAAGAAGTTACATATCAGTCCAGAAACAAACCCTTTATATGCTCAACTGATTTTCAACAAGGGGACCGAGATGATTCAGTGGGGAAAGGGCAGTCTTTTCAACAAACGGCACTAGGAAAACTGGATATCCACATGCAAAACAAAAACGAGGTTGGACCCTTATTTAACACCATATACAAAAAATAACTCAAACTGGATCCAAGACCTAAATGTAAGAATGAGGGGTGCCTGGGTGGTTCAGTCGCTTGGGCATCTGCGATAGGCTCAGGTCATGATCCCAGGGTCCCAGGATCAAGGCTCGCATCAGGCTCCCTGCTCGGCAGGAAGCCTGGTTCTCCCTCTGCAGCTCCCCCTGCTTGTGTTCCTGCTCTGGCTCTCTCTTTGTCAAATAAATAAAAAAATTTTAAAAAATTAAAATAAACAAACACACACAAAAAACCCCAAACTATTAAAAAAAAAATCATTGTAAGAATGGAAACTATAAACAGTTAGATGAAACCATAGGGGAAAGCATTCACAACATCAATGGGGCCTGACTGCCTGCAAATGACGGTGAAGGCCCACACACGTATTTAGACTGATGGATGGTAAAGTGAGAGGAAAAATGGGGCAGAGCACCTGTAGAACACCAAAGAAAGAGAAATAAAAGTATTAGAAGTATCCAGAATGGGAGGGAAAATTACCTTTCAACAGAACAATTTCCTAAGTAGAACAACAGAACACAGAAGGCAGTCAGGAAAGGTACCTTTAAGGTGCTGAAAGACAATGATGGCTATTCCAGAATTCTACATACAGTGAAAATATCTTTCAAGAATTCCGGAATGATGTTTTCAGACAACTAAAAAGTTTGACTTCAGCGAAGTATCACTAGAGGAAGCGCAAGGATGTGCTTCAGACAAAAGAAAAACAGCACTAAACGTGAGAGTCTAAAAAAAAGAATGGGAATGAAGAAGATGGTAAGTCCATGGGTAAACAGAACAGCAGTATCTTGTAGAGCTTTGAAGAAATAGGACTGTGTGGGGCGCTTGGGTGGCTCAGTTGGTTAAGTGTCGGACTCTTGATTTCTGCTCAGGTCATAGTCTCAGGGTCGTAAGACTGAGCCTTGTCTCAGGCTCCACGCTGGGCATGGAGTCTGCTTAAGATTCTCTCCCCCCAACCACCCCCGTTCTCTCCTAAAAATATAAAAGAAAAAGAAAATATATCACCGTAATACATAAGCACAGTAACTCAGGGTGAGAGCTCTGATGAAAACTTTCTAGGGTCCTTGTATTATTCAAAAAAGTAGCTATAAGTATTGGTTAAGCTTCAGATTCTGGGAAAGTAAGGATAAATGTTGTGATTTTGATGACATTTCTAGAACAACAAAACCTAACTGTATAATTCCAAACCTGCAAAGGGGCATATCAGTGAATGATAAAATGTCAGTCTAAAAAGACGCAAGAAAGGGGGGGCCCAGCTGAGGGAACATGTATCTCTTGATTTTGAAGTTGTGAGTTCAACAACTCACCTAGACTTAATTTACAAGAGACATACCTCAAAGTAAGGACACATAGTGGCTAAAAGATAAGGCTAGAAACCTGGGTGGTGGCAACACAGACATAAGGCTTATAATTATTTGCTGGCAATATATTTATCTTATGTATTATATGTATGTGATTCACAATAAAGAAATTGAAGTAGTAAAAGGAATGGGCATCTGGCTGGCTCAGTCGGTAGGGCAGTGACTCGATGTTGGGGTCGTGGGTTTGAGGCCCATGTTGGGTGTTGAAATTATTTTTTAAAAAGGTGGCTAAAGGACAGAAAAAGTATGATATGCAAATGAAAAAATATTAATACATTAGCACTTCCCTTAAATAAATATTTAAGGGAAGACTTTTGCTAGATAGAAAAATGGATTACTTCATAATGATAAAAATAGCAGGGAGAGAAATAGCAAGTGTAAACCTTATCACTTAATAACACAGCCTCAAAATATATAAATCAAACACTGACATAAGTGCAAGGAGTAAGAAATAAATCTTCAATCAGAATAGGATTACTGGGCGTGCTTGGCTGGCTCAGTCATTGAGCACGTGACTTTTGATTTCAGGATCGTGAGTTGAAGCCCCATGCGGGGCATAAAGCTCTGTTTAAAAAAAAAAAAAAAAAAGAATAGGAACACTGATTATAGTGTGTAAATATGGTATACTTATTACATATTTATATTATACTTAAAACATAGCATATATAGTATAAATACATTTCTCTTTTACTATGCCTTTCAGTGACTGATAGAACAAACACAAATGATTATGGGCAGAGAGGATATGCAAAATGTGACGAACAAATTTTACCTAAAAGACATGGAGAAAGCTGTAAGAACTGCCGAACCCACATTCATGCACAGCATGCAAACATTTACAAAAGCCCACCCTACAAGTCTCAACCAACTTCCCCAAACTTAAAACACAGTATATTCTCTGAACACAATACACTTAAGTTAGAAATCAGTAAGAAAACCTAACAAGAAAAGTCTTTGGGGTCTCCTGGGTGGCTCAGTGGGTTAAAGCCTCTGCCTTCAACTCAAGTCATGATCCCAGGGTCCTGAGATCGAGCCCCGCATTGGGCTCTCTGCTCAGCAGGGAGCCTGCTTCCTCCTCTCTGCCTGCCTCTCTGCCTACTTGTGATCCCTGTCAAATAAATAAATAAAATCTTAAAAAAAAAAATCTTTGTATGCTTGGAAATGCAGAAATGTCTACACAAAGAAATGGAAAGATGTTCTGTGCTCATGGATTGGAAGAACACTTAAAATTCTCATCCTACCCAAAGCAATCTAGAGATTCAACGCAACACCTGACAAAATACCAGTGGCATTTTTCATAGAACAAAGGATCCTAAGATATGTATAAAACCACAAAAGACTCCAATAGCCAAAGCAATTTAGAGAAAAAGGAACAAAGTTGGAGGTATCACAGTCCCTAATTTCAGACTATACTACAAAGCCACAGAACTCAAGGCAGTGTGGTACTCGTGCAAAGACACACACACAGATCAAAAGAATGACTAGAGAGCCCAGAACAAAACTCACACACGTACGGCCAACCCAGGACAATGGTGGTAAGAATATATGATGAGTCTCTTCACTAAACGGCCCCGGGGGCACTGGACAGCTAGGTGCAAAAGGAGGAAACTGGACCACTGTCTTACGTTGTACACAAAAATAAATCCAGAATGGATTAAAGACTTGAAAGTAAGGCTCCAAACTGTTAAACTCTCAAAGAAGCCATAGGCAGGAAGCTCTGTGACCTCATTCTTAGTGGTATGATTTTGGGACCCACCTCTCCAGATAAGGGCGACAAAAGAAAAAATAAGCAAATGGGATTACATCAAACTAAAAAGCTTCTCCACAGCAAAGGAAACCATCAACAAAACAAAAGACCACCTGTGTAATGGGAGAAAATATTTGCAAATCACACGTCTGAAAAGGGGTTAATATCCAAAATATACAAGGGACTTCACACAATTTAAAAACAAACATCCTGGTTAAAAATGGGCAGGGGGGGCGCCTGGCTGGCTCGGTTGGTAGAGTGAGCAACTCTTGATCTAGGGCTTGTGAGTCCCGAGCCCCACGTTGGGTGCACAGCCTACTTTAAAAGAAAAATGGGCAGAGGACTTTAATGGGCATTCTTCCAAAGAAGACATCCGGACGGCCACAGACACATGAAAAGATAGATGACGACTCAGCATCACTCATCATCTGGGAAATACAAAACTAGTTTTCATTTTATTGTGGTTTTTCAATAACTTATCAGCACACACCTGTCAGATTGGCTATTATCAAAGAGACAAAAAAAAATAAAAGTTGGCAAGGATGGGGAGAAAAGGGAAGTGATGGAAGCAGCCAAGTGTCCACTGATAGATGAATGGATAAAGATGTGGCCATACACAGTGGAACACCACGCAGTCATCTCACCACAAAATCGTACGCGGCTCAATGTCAACGGTACTACACTAGGTGAAAGAAGTCAGAGAGGGACAAACACCATATGACCGCACTTGTATGTGGGATCTAAACAAAAAAGTGAAAGAAAAAACAAAACAGAAAGAGATTCACAGGGGCGCCTGAGTGGCTCAGTGGGTTAAAGCCTCTGCCTTCGGCTCAGGTCATGATCCCAGGGTCCTGGGATTGAGCCCTGCATCATCGGGCTCTCTGCTCGGCAGGGAGCCTGCTTCCTCCTCTCTCTCTGCCTGCTTGTGATCTCTGTCAAATAAATAAATAAAAATCTTAAAAAAAAAGAAAGAAAGAGATTCACAGATACAGAAAACAAAGGTGGGTTACCAGAGGGGACAGGGTGGGGGGATGGGCAAAGTAGGTGAAGGGGATTAAGGGGTATGAACTTCCAGTCACAAAATAAAGAATTCATGGGGATATAATGTACAGCATAGAGAATATAGTCAGTAACTTTGTAATGATTTTGTATGGGGACAGGGGACACTAGATTTATGGTGGAGATCATTTCATAATATATAAAAATACCCAATCAATATTATCTACAGTTAAAACTAATAGGATATTGTGTGTCAATTATTCTCTCATATTAAAAAAGTATAATCTGAGGAGAGA